CGCGCCATTTATGGAAAATTAATAATAAGAAAATTAACTACGATTAATATTAACAATAAAGAAAAATAAGCCTATAATATATACATACACGAAAAATATCTACACAATTATTGAAAATAAACGGGAATGAGACTAAAATGCGACAGCAAAAAATTCGTGCAGGTCTAAGTAAAGCTGAGTCAAGCTACTTATAAAACTCCCGCATGAAAACTATCCAAAAAAAATTCGAGATACCAATATTAGGCCTTTCATAACACAAAACACACCTCACCCCTCAATACTGCTTTGTTTGAATTCATTCCCCCAAAACAACGGAAACAGAAAACGTAAACAACGGATGTTCTCTCCTAAGCACAGATGTTCTGATTCGTAACAGCATGAGATCGCTAAAGGCGCAGTGTTCCCGCTAATGGAACACCCGGTTTCATTCAATGATTCTGCGTATGGTTTTTGTATGAAAGATTAAAAAAAATATAGAATAAATAATTTGGAGTACAGCTAGCAAAATTATGCCTAATTTTTTTTCCAAATAAAATTTTTTATATAAAAAATAGAGAAAATTACTTGAAAAAAGTGGATTTTAATAACACATAATAAATGAAAATTCTGCATCTCCTTGTGATATGCTGCTATCTACTGTTTACAAAGAAAAGTTCAAAGTATATTATAAAGACATTTTTATCTATTTACGGTTGAATTTAAAGGTTTCAGAAGCGATTAAATTTGGGTGTTCCATGTAGTGGAACACTGAGCCGCAAAGGGTTAAGTAAAGGCCAGTCTTAGTGCTAGGCATTTGTATACTAATTCAAAGTTAGCTTTTAGTTAGTAGTTTTTATATTCTTCCATTCAGACCACAAGTGGTTGGTCTCTGTATTCCGAAGTTCGGAAATACCTGTAAAGTATTGAAAATAAAGGGTTTCGTATACCCTTCCTGCTTGTGTTGTCTACTTCACACCTTCTTGAACATAGCTTGAGTAAGCTCCCTGTTCCTATTCAGGACCATTCATGTTTGCAAAGCAAATCAAGAGAAAAACAAGTTCTGACACTATAATTAAGAAACTTAAAAAAGTTGTTCAGATATTTAAATGTTCCTCTACTAAAAATTTTGTTTTAGAAAAATATATACTTACTGAAATGAAAAAAGAACTTAATGCTGAAGTTATATTCCAAAACACACTTTGAACAGTTCGCTCTTAATGATGGAAAGAGTTTTTAAATTAAAAAATCCAATTCAGAAAGCTTCAATTTAATGAAATTAACAAATTAATTTTTCTGATACTGAATTCGATTTAATACCTAAACTGTATCAGCTCTGCTTCCAATGAAGGTGGCTGTGGAGGCATTATGAATAACTTCTTAACAGTGAATACATTTTGTTGCAATTACTTAAAAATCAGGACATGAAACTTTCTGAGAAATTATAAAGTGATTAGAGATTTACACAGAGGAAAGCCATAGTGAACTAGAAAATATTTTAAGTTATTTAGATAAAGCATGACTTTAATAAAAAGGAAAAAATAGGCTAATAACATGAAACTTAATTTCAACGTACATTTCCACAAAAACATTGAAGGGGGGGGGAAATGAAGAAAAAGAGTTTATTCAAAACCCTCCAACAAAAGACCGAGTTGTTAGAAAATAAAGGACTTTGAGGCAAATATTTAGAGGAAGGATATCAATCATTATTAACAATACCAACAATCAGCATGGATGCAGAAAGAACATTTTCAACCACAAGTAATTTGTGTGCAAAAATACATTGCAGGCTTAATGACAGTTAAATACTTGCATTAATTTTTTTTTTTTAAATGTGAAATTTTGAAATGCAACTATTATTTTACATTATGCAGTTAATAAATCAGTTGTATTTTTTCTATTAATAGGTATTATAACTAATAATATATGTTTTGCTCCTTTGTTGTATTGTAATACTGTATATTTTATATTATATTTTTATATATGTTTCCAATGTTATAAATTATTATTTTACTGCTCTTATAAATAATTTTATAATTGCTTATAACATTTATTGCTTTATTTTATATCGGTACATAACAAAACTGCTTATGTTATTATAGTTTCTGCACTTTTGTATAAAAGTAAAAAAATATAGCAAAGAAGCAATTGTGTTTTTGTACTTTTTCTTCCTAATACTAGTATTCCAGCACAATGTTAAAAAAATGTAAAATACCGGTAATGTACTTTTGGTCTAGTATTACAATCAATACTGGTGAGTTTTAAATTTTTATTTATATCTCATAATTTTATTTATTAGAATACACATAATGCTAATTCCCATTCATTAATCTAGACGTTTTTAATAACATTTAATAACATGCCTTTTATGAAAAGAGAGGATATGCCCTTGATAGTAGCATTAAATCATTTCTCCACACAATCACATAAGTGTTGTAAATTATTTAACATCATAGCCATAAGAATGTAGGGGGGATTCTCTATGATTGAACACTTTTCAGTAATAAGAATAAACATTCTTGTTGCAATCACCTCTGAAAGTAATCAATATTTAGGATAAAGTAAATAAATATCATCAGTAAATATGACAAATAATAAAATCAAAATTTAAACATCTCTTTAAGTCTTACAAAGCCTTGAATAACCTGGGAATGTGAGTAGTCACCTTAGAAGAGAAAACTAACTGCCAGTAGAAATTAAAAATATTTTTTTCCCTCCATCATAAGGATCAAAGTTACGATGAAGTGGCTAAAAGTATTTTCTTGTTAATGAGAAAAGGTAATCCCAGTCAAAATTTTCTCTAAGAAAATGCAAATTCATTATTAATAGAATTCAGAATCTTAATATAATGAAAATGCTGATCACTTTAATAAAATCCATTAATCATTTTGGGATTGATTTACAGAAGTAGCTTACACATACACAAGACATGCAACCAGATGACTACTAGTTAAATAATTATCTTTTCAAGTAAGTTATAGAATCAGCATTCCTCTAATACAGCCATACTCAACCTTTTTCATCCACGGCCACTTTCTCGGAAGCGCTATTTCAAGTGGAAACACAGTCAACAGTGGAAAATTTAACGAAACGGGTAGTGTTATTGTTTTTGCTGTAATTGCATAGATGTTTGATTTGCAACTTAAACAGTTTACTAACAGGTAACAGTGGCATCAACATTGCATTCGCTTTATGATTTATTGCTGTGCAGAATTTAAAAGTGAGCTTGTGGCACAGCCTGTTGTGAGGTCTAGTGACGTGCAACGGTAGTAAGAGTGGGGACACTCGTGCTCGCTCACCAGGTCGTAAAACGATATAATTGTTGCCATGTGTCGCTTTGGACTAGTTCTCATTGTTAAACATCAAAAGAAATCTGTAGTCTTCGTGGCTATCACGTCTAGTATTAAAATGCTTCCAACCACAGCAGCCCGACTAAATTCATTCCAGGCATACTTTCTCATGCCACACAATTACTGAGACGGACTGCACAATAAATGACATGCGTTGTGCAGAATGTGCTGCTTAAATTCAGAGCATTGGTTTCGTCGTTATCCCTGTCCACATCTCGCCCATTTTTATCAGCCAATCATTCGAGATTTTTATTGCGAAATTTTGCATACGGGGAATAGCTTGTCGGGCCACTAAACAAAGCTCGGCGGGCTGCAGGTTGAGTACCGCTGCTCTAGTAGAAATGAATACAGCTTCTCATCCTTATGTACCAAAAACAGTTAAAAAATATATTTCCGTGCCAATAGCATATATAGTGAGAGGTTATTATTTCCAAAAGCAGCCAAGGTACAATAATTTTAGAAAAAGTGTTTAGCTGTTAATCTTTTTACACTAACATAACTTTAGCAATTTAAAAAGTAACAAAACAGTATAATCTCCAGCAAAGAAGTTTTGAAATATTTTATTACTAAAATTAATGATTTTGGATTAGGAGGAGGGAAGAATTTGTTTTGTTGATTTTTAAAAAATGTTTTGCCATGATATTTTAAAGAAATAAAAATCCAGTAAAGATCTTGGGGGGGGGAGGCGGGTCAGCAACTTTTGCTTTTTATATTGATTTAATTAATCGGATTTTGAGCAAATAATCAGCTGTTGTTGAAGGTTTGGCATCTAGCAGATGTTTGTCATATAACAGATAACAGATGTTTGTCAGATATCCATAGAGTCCTAAATTTATTTATTTTGGAGATACAATTTCAGAGTTTCGTACATCCGTAATAGCTCCTTCGTGATGGCAAATTGAGCACAGATGTATAACTCATTAATTTTCCAAAGTGGTGCCCTTATTTTAGGAGCTAAATCCCCAACTTTAGTAAAATCCTTAACTGGCATCTAAAAATGAAAACTTTCAAATAATATCAATATATATAGAATCAGCTTCTAGGTTGCATTATAGCATACAAATTTATAAATACTGTAATGGATAATAAAAAGGTTCCATCTTTTTCTAAATTCTTCACAGCTAGCATAAATATTATCACAGTTTAGTTTTGAGAATTGGACCACCAATAATGTTATTTATTCCTTACTCACCTAAATTCTGCTATGAATCCAAACTGCATATGAAGTAACTCATGTAAGATGTAACAAAAACAGCAATACTAACTGACAATGCTACAGGAGGTAATTTCAAACTTCTGGTATCACGAAAATAAGCTTTCTTAAATGGAAAAATTTAATAGCTGGGAATTTCATAAGCCTAAAAATCCATGTAAATACTTTTGGGTTTCATTTCAAAATTTTAAATATCAGATTTTGTAGAGAAACAGCTTTTTAGACAGGAATTTTTTTGGGGGGCACAATTATTATACTTAAGACAAAAGAATATGCTGTATAAAAAATTAATTTCTAAATCATACATCAATAAAAGGTAATTTGCTCTTTTTTTATTTTTGCCTTATATAAATGCTCATATTCTAAATACAAGAAGTCTGAACAGCCTGAACAATTCATCTAATTTAGTATCTTGTGTGACCTTGTGCATTCACTAATTTACAATAAATGTTGCTTAAAAATTTGTATACATATTTTTTATTTGTTCTTATAATACTGTTATAAAATATTCTTTATACACATGCAAAAATAATTCAGACTGTAAAAATGCCTTGTAAATAAAAATTACATTAAAATCAATATTTTAAAATTTCAATTCATTCCATGCAGCTTTTCCTAATTAACGACCAGCGCCATAACCAGGAAACAAAGAGAGAAGTATTTTTTGTAGACCTTTATTTACTTTAATTGCAGAGTCTCTTTCAAGTTCTTGTCGACACATCGGACAGTTAAAAACTTCAGCTTTAAAAGATCGTTCGAGACAAGACTGCAAAATAAATAAATAAATAAAATGTAAATCTGGCACATTTTTATTAAGATAAAAATACAGCTTTTAAGTACACAAATAAAAAATTTGATTCAAAACAAAAATAACTTCTTTTAAAACTAGAATCCATGTATGCGATTATTTAACATAAACTTGCTTAACATAAGCAAATTATTTATAATTAAAATAGAAGTAAAAAGTATAAAAAAACTTTTTACTAAATTATGTTTAGGATCTGTATTTCAAATGTCGAGCAATGATTTACGAGAAATACTTTTTGAAAACCGAAGAACCTTTTTTTCTCCCCCCCCAAAAGCAACATGTAAGGAAGTTATAAAATAGATTTATGAGTCGATTCATGAGAAATACTTTTTGAAAACTGAAGAAAAGAAAACCTTCCCCCCCCAAAAGCAACATGTAATGAAGTTATAAAATAGATTAATGGAGGGGGGCCTCAAAATTATATACTTCATGCATCTAATGCAGATGAGACAGGCTTATATGGGCAGCTTTTACCAATAAATTGCTAACATTTTGTATGAAAATGCCAAACGTACAACTAAATTCTGTAAATTTTCCTGATAACATGCATACAATATGAAAGAGAATACTGAAACATGCAACAAGTTTTTATATGGATAGTCAAGAGTTTAACATAAAATGCATATTTATGAAACTATAGGTATTTTATATATAAATAAATTTTGATATGATATTCTAAATCTTTAAATAATACCTATTCATCTTTAAGGAGGTTTTGTATTATATTTGATCAAAGGATACCACACATATACTTATGGTGGCGTTGTTATTTTATATATCAAACATTTGGGAAGAGACTTTGAAATTTCATTTGACTGTACCATTTTGTTAAAAAAAATTAGTAATAACAAAATAAGCAGATAAAATAGCTTTAATTCAATTACCTTGAAAATAAATAATTAAAGGTTTTCAGAACAGAAATTTTCTTCAGATGAATTTTATTAAGTTTTAACTTTTTTCAATTCAATGAATTTGTTTCACCTAAGAAATTTGAAAAATCAATTATTTTCTTAGTGATTTTGAAATCACTGAATAAATCAGATTTTCTTTATCAGTAAATCAAAGTCAGACATTTTTGTGAAATCTCTTGAAAAACAGAATCCTTAAATTCAAAGTAATTCACACTTTGTGGTTTACTGAATACAGTGTTCACACTTATTAAGGGCCTATTAGCAAAGAGAACTAAATAAATTGTAGTAATTGTCTAAGCAACCAATTTCATTCTTGCAATATCATTCTAAGAATCTAACAGAAATATGTAAGATGCATTATTATTAAACACAACCTAATATTTAACATAACAGTAAAATGAATTTGAGAATAAAACCATTTCCCTCGAAATTTTTAGGAGTTAACATTAAATAATGAATAGTTTCTTAAACATGTATATTTTATATATATATCATGGCAGTACATTTTAAAGAATATTTGCATGGTCCTCACTATTAAAAAATTCTTTTATATTTTAAAAATAATGATTGAAAAAGCAAAATTAAAATAATAAACTAAGGAAAATCGAAAGTTTAAAGTAACACATTAAAACATCTATAATTTATTACAACAATGGTTTTAATAAGATAATAGAACACTTATACATTAAAAGATTTTAAAAAAAATTACACTTAAATCATGAATTTTTTTTAGAAAATCATAATTTTTTTTAAATCATAAATTTTTATCTAATTTTTTATATCAACTTCTTTTACTATTTTTCTAAATTCATTTATTTTAATAAACAAATCAATGTTCCTGTTTCCATTTTAATAAAATGGAATTATAATAATCCGTGCTCATTTTCAGATAAAAAAACAAACAAAATTCCTATTTTCAGAAAATTTATCATGGCAAATTTAATGGCAGTTCTTTTTTTCTAATATATATATGCAAACAAATATTTTACACAGATATTTTATAACATATTTTGACTGATGTAGTGAATTTGTTTTATTATTCCAGCTATTTAGCATTTTTTTGCATACAATGATGTTGCTCTCATTTATAATAAGTGTAAATAGTAAATTTCTGCAATTTTTTTTGTTTTAGATAAATCTCTCTTTTTATATACATATTCTACTGTTCTTTTAAAATTAATCTTGAGATTATTTGGATATGTGTGAAAAATTTATTTGTCCTCAGCTTTTCAGATATTGAGTTCTAATTTCAATGCACTTCACTGTTGATTTGTTTCATTCTGCACAATAAGTAAGCTTGTTTACATGGATACATTGTTAAAAACAGTACTAGAAGATTTTCCTAAAACCAAAAAAATGAAAAACATACATAGCATTTTTATTTTTATTTTTATTTTATTATTATTATTATTATTATTTGATTACTGTTAATAACACTGTCAATCTAGTTGCACATGAACGGAATGTACTGGTAGAATAGGCATGGTTAATTAAGGAAAACTTTAAAAACTTTATTGTGTGGAATTTGTAAACACCATTTATTTATTTTCCCCTTCTTTTATTTAAGAATATAAAAACTGTTTTGAAACTGATTTTTATTGACGGATCACCAATTTTTTTTATATAAAATATTTTGATGTTTTTTTTCCCTTGGTTAAAAAATTTCTTCCTCTTCTCAAAATGCTGGGAGGGATGTTCATCTCACTTTAAAAAAAAAAAAAAAAAAAAAATTCAATAGAGAATACCTACAGAAATTATGAAATAACATATGATGTGTTGAGAAATATAAGATAAATCTTTTAAACTTTCAATTTCTTTATTAACAGAGAAGTTCCTTTCAACAACTGCCTATCCATATAACAAGATAAGAATGATTTTAGCAATTTTTCCATGTTTCTGAATAGTAAAAATCCCAAAATTAAAGAAAGAAAAATTTCCAAGATAGATTTTTTTTTAAATGGAAAGTAGAAAACGTTTATAGTTTTATGTTCACTGCTTTACCTAAAAATTCTTGAAACAGCAAGATAATTTCCTCACAACCTGGTTGCAAAACTCATATTCTGTGCTAATACCTGTGCTTAATACATTTTTCACTTGTTCTGGACTTTTCTTTGCCTTTTAGACATAAATCATAGATCCATAAAGGTCTTGTTAAAATATTCAATGATATACTGACTACAGTCCAAGGAATATTTACCTCAAGAGCCAAACAATGTCAATCCTTCTTTACTTGCCAAGCCATTTCTTTACTTGATAAGTCATTTCTTCTCCAAAGAAATGCTCTAAAAGGCTCCATAATTCCTATTACCACTTGTTGAATTCTTTGTGTAAATTTATGTCTCTTCTTGTAGATTGTCTAATACTAGCAAATGCTTTCAGGATATCCCTTGCTTTTACAAACTTTAGACAAACAGTGAAGAATTTTTGATTCACTGATAAGAATGAATAAAAGAAGCACCTTCTTAAGTTCATGCATCGACCATCACAGATTCGTCATAGTAAATCAAAACACAGCTATAAGGTCAAATTTCATTCTCTGTTGATCCAGACAAACAAGATTTTTATTAAAAATACCTGATTTGATACAGCACAGTAAACAATCAATCAAGCACCCTGAAATCTTCATTTCAAGATTTCTGATTGCTCTTTGTCATTCGCAGTGGCAATCTGTGATGGCTCTATATGGATAGACTTCCATATTCATAAAATATGCTAATTTATACTGAGAACGATAGTGACCCAGACTAGAGAGAAATGACAAATAAGGAAAATTGAGGACCTTTTGCAAATTTTGCCTGAAATTAAGGTCTTCCATGGACATAACTGATGCTGTGGGTAATTTATCACCCCTACAAAAACTGCACTCTTTCTTTTGTGTATGCAATCCTTAGTTGACAAAACAAATGCCCAAACCATTCACGCTTTAAAAAACTGATCAACAATAATCTGATATTTCAATGGCATTTTGACACAAAATTGAAATTTTCTGAAGTGACATGCCAGTTTTTTTCCATATTTCGATTCTACGACTCAAATTATGCCTAAATATTAAATTTTGTAAAATTTGGTGTGAAATTTATGGAGAAATTCAAACTTTTATCTTGCTACATTTTTTTCAGTTTGCACCAAGAATAATTCACTTGGTGAACTTCTTAATTTATAGCAACCTATTTTCCTCTTCTTTTTTTCATTGTAAACGAGCAGAAAAAAAGGCCAACATTCATTATTTAAAATAATTTTAACATAGTGCGTAAACCACATTCGGCATTATTATCACTTATAATAAGTATGGCAAATTTTAAAATGCGCCAATATGTAAATTCATCTATATCTTAGGAAATTTTGGATTAAAAAACTCTAATTTTTTGCAGGTATGCTTGGAAATACATCTAATTTAACATGATGTTAAAAAGTTTGTAGGTTATAATACAAAATGTTTTTCGAAAAATTTATAAAAATCATTTAAAAATAAAATATAAAAAATGAATGAATTTTATTTGGAATTAACTTAAATTTCAAATTCTGTAAGAAGGAATCAAGTAAGTTTAGTAAAAAAAAAAAAAAAGAGGAATTAATCAATATACATCAAATTCAATTAACATATAGGAGCTAAAATTTTGAGAGCTAATTTTTCAAAAATTACTCTTGCGATTTTTACAAAACTGGGCAGTTTGGTATAATATGAATCGTAGAATCAAAATATGGAAAAAAATTGACATGCTATTTCAGAAAAAGTCTGATTTTGTATCAAAATACCTACATTAGAACAATGATATATATAAATCTAATACATATCCTAAGTCGTACTTTCGAGACATGAAAAATGAAGTTGAATTTCGTCAATTGGCCCAGTAGAACGGGAGATATAGAACTGTCACCTTTTTTCTTTTTGTACAAAACACTTTAAAATACATCCTCAGATTTTTTTTTTTTTTTTTTTTTTAAACCAGAAAAGGTAATATTATTTTCAGTTAACATATAAAAATCATGTAATGGCAAAAATAACTAACATATGAAATCAAGTGGTGGCAAGATCATGCTGAACATGATTTTCATGTATCTTTCGCTCACCCTCATGCTTGTTTCTCAGTACATTGGTATTTAAAAAACTTTGAATTAAATATATCTGTCACTGATTAACAAACTGAATAATAATTTCCCTTAAATAATTTAAATCTTTTTTTACTTTAAATTTTACTTTTTTTTTTATAATGTAGCCGATTAATATAGATTAAAATACATTTAACTAAGAATATATCCAATGGATAATTTTTATGAATATTTGCAGCTTTGCTGTAATAAATAAAAGATGTTTCTAGCACCACATATCACAATATTAATAAAAATCTCTCTTAATTGAATGTTTTTTTAATTTAAAAAATATTTTGAAAGCTTTTTGAAAAAATAAGCTTTTTTTTTTTTTTTTTTTTTTTTTTTAAATAAATTTTTCAAGTTGCATTTTCCCCTTTCAATTTTTAAAAATGCCTTCCAGATGGAAAAGTGGTTATTAACTCTGACTGCTATACTGAAGGGCTTGGCTTTGAATACTGAAGAAGGAATGGATGTTTGTGAATGTATGGTACCTTTGCAGCAAGGGGGCACTCTAACAATATGGCATGTTGAAAGTTCTCTTGTGTGGTTTGGTGGTAGGAGAGGGACGAGAGACCATCTGACCTCCCACGTCCCTTAGTATGGAATGGAAAGTAGAAGTCCAACCTCTTTGAGACCCTGGCAACCATTTTACCATGAAATATAGAGTCAAAAACAACAACAGTTATTAAAAATACATATTAAAGATTTTATAGAACGTATTTATTTGCCATTAATAGAAAAAGGATGAAATAGGCGAAGCTTTCTAACCCCGAAACCCTTATATTCAAGGGCTTTTTGTTTAAACTGAAGTGCCATATGTTAAATTAAAAAACAGCAGAGGAAAAAGAAAAAAAAAAAAAAAAAAAAACACCGCATCCAACTAAGAAACAGTTTTTATAGAAGAACCATTTTATCAGAACTGAAACTTCTTAAATACATTGCAATGCATAAATAAGCATTAAGTGCCCCCCTCCAAAAAATGAAAACTGATTAGTTACAAATGTATATTAATGAAAAATATCAAACATATAATGCACTTACTTTACATATATTATGAGAACATGCAGTAGTTACAGGTTTAAAAACTAATTCTTGGCAACATATACACAAGAAAGCATCTTCCACACTTTTCAAAAATTTCTGCAGAAAAAAATAAAAATTCAATAAATAATAAAAATAAAAATTCAAAAAGCACTTGATAAACATAAAAACTTGTGCATGATCAACATTTTAAAAAAATCAATGATTTCACTTGTATGTAAAATTTAATTGGTAAGTCTTAGAATTTTAAAATTAAAAATATACCATAAAATCACACATACAAGTATTAGCCTAAAAGAAAGATCAAATGCTTATAAATCACAAAGTGTTTGTTTTTATTAAGAAGAATTCAATACTTTTTCATACAGGAAGCCTTTTCCCCATGATGCGATTGATAGCATCAGATCATGCGAGAGCTATTGACAATCAGCTGAAAAATATGGGCTTAGATAGAGAAAACTTTTTATATGTTTGAATATGCAAAAGACAAAAAATCTGTTACTGTTGTACAAAGTTAATTTAGAGCATGGTATTTTAAAAGCCATTCACAAGACAATCTATGATTGCAACAAGAAATTTTAGGAAACTGATAATCTGTGCAAGAGTTTTGAAAGCCCATTTGTATCAGAAAAAATACAGAATTGTGTTCATGTGAGAGAGGCCGACAACGTATGAAATGATTCATATGTCACACATTTCCTAGGCATTCTATCGAACTCCAAATGACAAGTATGAAATACATTTCCAATTCATTTCAAAGAACCAAACTAATAACTAATAGTTAATAAATGATGTAAAAAGGACAAAATGACTTTTAAGAAGGAACCACGAGACTACTGGCGGCTGAATTGCTAGGATGTGATGTTTGTAGGAAACAAAATGTATGCTGTTAAAGAAAGCGTCAGTACTATACAGTATTATGTCACAGATGCTGAGTTATTTCACACACTTCATATAAACTCATTTGAATACTGGACACGGATGATGTGGCAGAATGTTGAAAGAACTTTCAACCAAATACAAAAACGTTACACGTAATAAATATTGAACTGTACAAACCACCTTTGTGAACCCTGACAGAAAAAACAAAAAGGTATTAAAAAGGGCATTATTGTGAAACTTATGATTGTTTCTGAATTTAATTTTTGTTGTCAGGTTAATCTTACTGATTCCCAGTCTCAGCCAGGTAGAAAGTACAACAAATTTATTATGTTGCATCAAGATCATCTGACTGTTTTCTTTCTAACATATTTTGAATAACGGTTTTTTAGTTTTTTAACGGCACCCTTTCATTATTTTTTCAAAATAATATTTGTATTTTTGAGGAATAAATGTCTGTTAAATAATGACCTATCATAGGCCATTTTTTTCATACTTTGCCTAAAGAGCATTTGTCATTCTATAGAATGCCTAAATATCATGTAAATCATGTATCATCATTTCAAAAGAAATTAAGGCCTATAGAAGACATTTAATGAGCTAGTCAGATTTTCTTATATCCTAAACATTTCATTCAAAGGCAATAAATCAGAGCTAGCAAAAAATATTTTATCTTTATTATGTGATATTTAAACACTAGCTCAAAATGTAAATGGCACTGATACATCTAGCCATGATGAAACAAAAACAAAAGTAGAAAGTGAAAATACTTTTTTAATGCAGCGTGATATTTTTTAGAAGAAAAATTACCTCGATTCTTCTATATAATGTGATTATGTTTGTAAAAATATAGTCAATTCAGAATGTTAACATTAAATATTCTGACATTGAAAACACTATTTCAAATTTGACGTTGAAAGCACAGTTACTAATGCAGAATCGCATGCGAATATTGTTCGTCGGGTTGAACATTTTCAGAATACTTCTCAATTATTTAGTTTGTCGGATTTACAAAAAATTATCTTCACCAAAGGATCACTTGGCAGTAATGCTGCATTATTTGTTGAAACAGAACCAGAACTTCATTTATGGCCCAAACTGAGGAAAGCCTTATTTGAAGAATTCTCTTTTGAAATAAATTCTGCTAATATAAGTTTTTTTGGACTCACCGAATATTTCAGGAAGTTTATGCCAAAATAATCCATTAATGCTAAACTCTTGAAAAAAGACCAAAGGTTTAAATTTGACAAGGAGGAAATTTCTTTCAATTGGTTGAAGTCATTATTAACTGAAAAGCCTTTCTTAGGAATCTAATTCCAGTTATGAGTCTGAATTGCATATTAATGCTAGCTTAGAGGGATATGGAGAAATTTTAATACAGACGTTTCCAAAAGATAACAGTTTCCACTGGTACTTTTCCATTTTGCCAGCGCAGGCGATGATGTCACCAGTAATGGTACAGCTGATGCCAAACAGAATATTCTCGCTGGTAATCTTTTATGCCCCACTTTCAAAATAAGTCGCAGCCATTTCTTATCAGATTAATTGTTTCTTTCAATACTGGCATACAATTACATAGAATTTTTGCCAGATAGTTCAATTTTATGCCCTAAGGCCATTTGCGGTAATTAAGTCAATTAGGATGCAATCACACCACTCACCCAAAGGCAAAAAAGGCAAAGTCAAGGGTTAATTTCATCCATTCTAATGAGAATGCACTAGCGAAGTAAAGCACTGCAGTTTTACATAATTTCTGAGTAAGCTATTCGTACGAACTGAATTTTTGCATTTAAATTTATAATCAAAATTATGATTTAACTTGAAATTAATGTAGATAATTAGTGAGAGAATTAGATTTTTGTAACGTAGTTTACGTGAAATGAGATCACTTGGGGTCAAGTGATTTGAACCAGTGAATCAGGATGTTGAATAATGAAAGCATAGTAAATTCTTAAATTAATGTCTTTTTACAAATTTATTGTCTTTATTTACTGGCTTTTTTACAAAATTTTAAAATGCTTCTGCCTTCAAATTAAAAAATTCTTAGAACTAACATTCGTTAACATTTTTTATTTGTGTACATTGTATGTTGTCGCCAATAAAGTCTGCTTGGCGAGATTTGCGCCGGCGAAATGGAAAAGTACCTATTCACTCTACCTATTTACGTAAGAAAACTACAGATGCTTAAAGAAATATTCTAGTTAAGAACTTGAAGCTACATTGAAAAGATTATGTCAAACATGACTTATCAACTCATACTGCTTGTTGGGCTTTATTACCACAGGAATTTAATTATGTGATTGAGTATCACTATGACACGAGGATGGCTCATGTTGATGCCCTAAGTAGATTTTCCATTAATATTTTTTTGTGTTTCAGTTGATAATATCTTACCAAAGTTGAAATCAACACGGAATAAGTATAATGAAATAAAAATAATTAAAGTATTACTTAAAATTTCTAATTATAAAGATTATTGTGCTGGAAATTTTGTTTAAATTTGTTGATAGTAAAGAGATAGTGGTTGTTCCTAAAAGTATGACAAACAGAAATCATAAGAAGTGCCCATAAGAAAGCTCATTCAGGAGTTAAAATACACTGAGAAAAGCATCAAAGAGTATTGTTTTATCCCTAAACTCAGACACAAAAATAGAAAATATCATAGCCAAATTGCATTCATTGTATTCTAGCGAATTATAAGAAAGGAGAGAAAGAAGGTGTCCTACATCCATTGCACAAAGAAGATGGGCCATTAAAAACATATCATTTATCTCACCACTGACCTTTGGAACGTACACATAAAAATTATAAGCACATCTTAGTAATTATTGAAACATTTACTAAATTTGTATGGATTTGTCCTACAAAGTCCACAATATATGCTTGAAGTTGGAGATACAAAAGGCTGCATTTGGCAGTCCTTCCCAAATAATCTCGAACAGAGGTACAGAATACACCTCCAGTGAATTGGCCAATTACTGTTCTAAAGAGAACATTAAGCACAATTTGATTACTGCTGGCCTCTCAGCTAACGGTCAAGTCAAACGCATCCACCACACTATCATATCAGTTCTTTCAATGTCATCTTTAGAAAATACGGCTCAGTGGTACAAACATACAAGTGAACTGCAGCAGGCTATTAAATCGACATACAAACAAAGTATAGATATCACACTCTTTGAATTGCTCTTTGGTACAAAGATGAATGTTGAAGATACTGATAAGTTGACTGAAATGATCAAAGCTGAATTTCAAGCAAATTTTGAAGCTAAAAGAGATAAACTTAGAAAACATGCGAAGCAACTGATACTTAAAATTCAAGTAGAAAACATATAATTACATAGAGAACAAAGTTCTCACAAAGTCGAAGATTTGGAAGCTATAAAAAGAATGCAGTTTGGGCCGCATTTGAAACTAAAACCAAAGTATCTTGGATCATACAGAATAACTAAATTTAAAAGGAAACACATAGGACACAGTCAAAGAAGGAAGTAACGACAGTCCCAACTATATGACGACGTTCATTGAGTTTCTAAAATGATAAAATACGTGCTAAAGCCACTATAGAGAAAGGAAGATTGAAGAAGAAAAAGAAACGTAAATTGTATTTTTTTAGCAACGATGAAATGAAAGAAGCTTAATTACAAAAGGAAAGAAGTTCACTGACGAAAGGAAAAATGCCTTTAGAAGAATGACAAAATGCCTAAAGTCAAAGAAAATGTGGTTAAAGATGTTAACTACTTTTTCTATGGCAAATGAAGCTTGAAAATGATTTCGCTCATTTTTGAAGCTGAAATATGATCAAAGACTCTAAAAACATTTAGCCTTTATTTTTATTATCTTCTCTGTTTTGATTTTTTTTTTTTTTTTTTTTTTTTTTTTTTTTAGTCCAAAGGGATTTGAATCCCGAAGGACTATTAGTTTCGTTTTGGCATTTTGCGTCGGACGGATAAATGTCGGTTCACTTTTCAAACTGTTGCCATAAAATGTTAGAGTCCTGCATTATATTTGAAGAAATTAAATAATGAAAAATCTGCATAAATGTATGTATATTTCTCACATTGTCATAAAATAACGGTACATAGAGTCATCGAATTTTGAATAACGTAATCCTCCAACGAATATGAGCATGTGGAAGACCAAATTTGAAATTTGTTTTATGATCGATTTCCTATTTTTTAAAACTTTGACGAATTTTTGATTAACAAACTCAAGGATTTCAAAGCGAGCAATGGCAACGTTGTGCAGAAAAAAACATTTTTATCTCCAGTATCGGAAATTCTAAAGATATGCTCGTTTTAAAACTATTTTGCGATATTGCTGTTGCACTGGATCTTATGGTTTAAGTGCGAGGAACATGATATTTAATAAAGAAAGGTAACACACAAAATGTTAAAAAACGCCCCTTTGGACGTAATTTAAAATCTGAAACATTTCAGTTTTTTTTTGTTGTTGTTGTTGTTGTTGTTGTTTCAGTGTTGCCTTGAGAACCAGATGAATCTAGGAAGGCTGAGAGAATGTGGTGTCAGTGTTGAATGCCAGATGTGCATCATGAAAATTCTCTCTGACACGTTCAGTTGGCAGTTGGAATTGAGACATGTTGAATAACAGACCATAATGGATTAAAAGACGTAAACCATATTATTTCAAATTAAAGAGGCAAACTGAGTTTATTGTATTAGTGAAAATGTGTATGCACTTTAATGTAATTAAACGTGTTGTCCTATAAAGAAGCTTTATACATGTTTCTATTATCTACAAGAGAGTAGTACTACATATATATGTTACTGTAAAAGCCCAAAGTCTGGTAAAACCTAGCTTTTACCAAAGTAACTTAGTAAAAGTCTATAATATGATTCCATTTCAAAGAAGTGTACTACAAAGATGTGCTTATGCAAATCAGTTGATCTACTTTGTCATTCAAAATGCCATAACAGTCAAGCTTGTTGTAACATGTTGTAAGAAGTATTAAAGAAAAAACATATTACATTTTTCTTAATTTTTTTTAATTAAAATTTTTATTTTTTTCTCTCAGCCATCAATTTAATTTTTTTAACTATTGCCAAAATTATTATTAAAATCTCTTCAGTAGTTATCGAGAGAGTTGTGAATTAGTTTAGCTTTTTCACATGGGATCCTATTTGTGAAATGGCATAAATATTTCATTTTTTTAAATTTTTATTTCTTGTAACTCTTTGAAAAACAACTGTAAGACAGTTTTGGGACACACTGTATAAAATATATCTGTGAATGGAAAATCCTATCGTAAGTAAACCCTCGTTTCGGGCTTTTGCTGGAAGGCATTGGTAACTCCTAGGTTTTATCACAAAGGCTTGGCAAAAGGCTGAAATGGAATCATATTAAAGCATACTTCAGACTTTTAACAAGCCACTATGGTAAAAGTTAGGTTTTACCAGACTTTGGGTTTTTTACCATTACATATACAGTTAAAAGTCTTTAATCCGGACTCGTTGGGACTTCGGCGATTCAGGATTATCGTTTTTTCCAGATTAGAGATCATCAGTTTAAATCTGGTAAGATGGCATGCAGAAATTATAAAATTAAAAATATGAAACTGTAATTTATGAAATAAAGAGCAATTATGTTCTAAAGGGTATCAAAATTTACAAAAAAAAAAAAAAGCTTAATATTTATTTGTTTACTTTATTAAACATTTCTTTCAACACGTGCGCATGCGTAAAGCATACATACGCATAGTAGAAATTAGAAAATTGCAACCAGAAAACTATTTGATGTGTATTCGTGATATTTATAATGACGAGGAATTTGATTTAAATCATATCAAAGACGGAGTACAAATCGAGATGAAATACTACATTTAGTAAGGAATTATAAGCCGAATAAAATAAAAACATCTGCCCTGAAGATAAGGATAGTGCTGACAGATCAACTTCCAGTTCATTGTGCGCCGCGACGTCCCACCCCTCTGCGCAGAGCAGCGTGAAATTGATAAACAGATTTCGGAATGGTTAGAGAAACAAAGGATATGCCTTATCCATTTTTTGCAGCAATTCCACTTTTTGTTTGATGGACATCGAAACATGCTTTCGCTTTGTAGATCCTTTGGCAGCCCCAGAATTGGAAATTCTTTTTGGCATAATCGAAAGTTCAAGCTTACTTTTATAAAATTGCTCTAACAGTCTGCAAAACAATAATAAGCCATATCCAATTAGAAGATTAAGGAACAACACAATCTGCAACATTAACTGAAATAGATAATTTTAGCTTAGCTTATACTGTCCGTTATACATTAAACGCGCATTATGCACATGCGTAAACGCATTACGTGTTTACGCATGCGCAGAAAGTTTGTAGTTTTGAGGTCCAGATTAAAGATTTTTGACTGTATATAAATGTACACAATCTTTTTTCATGTTATTTTAGAAAACATATGAATGACATTAACTGTATACCATAGAAAAATAAGTCTGTCAAAATACATTAATTTCAGTTTGAAAAAATAATTACATACTAAGCTAATATATTTTACCTGTGACCCTTCAGTTACATTCTCTAAACATTCTTGCCATATCTTTTCATTTGCACTATCTTCTTGAATTAATTCTTGCACTTCGTCTGGTACCTGATAAAGAATTTTCTGCTTTTTCTTTGGTTCAGAAGTTTCACCATCTAAAGAAAATAATTCAAAACAAATTAATTACAATAAGATATTTTCGTAGTCACTCGCGACTTTGGCAAGAAGCACGTTTGGTTGTCTCTATTTCTCGCAGGTAATATTTTCATAGATGATTTAAAAAAAATGCACACTGTAAAAAATAAAATGTTATATGGAAACACAAAAACGTATAAATAGATGACATTTCCAGTTTTACAGCCAGCAGATAATCTTCAGCTATTGCTTTCAGAATTTTTTTAAACAATCTTTTCTTTTTACCTGCTGAATCTTCTGTCAAAAAAATTCAGCAATATAAATCTAAAGGCAGCATCTTGCAGTTCCTTTCTGTTTCTTGTTTCTACATTTGAATGAACCCCAAAGTTATTCAACATGTTGCATATGGATGCCATTTTCCAAGTCTACCAAATTACAGTTGTGGTTCACTTCTCAATGCTCATATCTGACTTCTTTCAGTTCATGAATGCTGTGTCTCATCTCACATCAGAAAAAATGGTACTTTCTTCTTTGGTGTGTTTTTGCATATTTACCATCAACATCATTGTGCTTTTTGCCTGAAATGGTCACCAGAAAAGTTTCCTTTGTTACACGGCAAATTTCTACATAAGTCTATTCGTGTGAGAGCAGTTAAAAAGCTTGTTCTTTTTATGTCTCATAATTAGGCTCTCATCTATTTTGATGATGAATTTACTGTCACTTTATTATTTTTTGTAACATTCTTCCTTTTTCATGGAATGCATGCACACTTATAGGTGATAATTACACCAATTGATAGTCATGTGCGAGGATAATTCCTGTTCTTTTTCACAGAATCTGATTAACATACATTTCTTTGCTCAACAATAAACAAAATGAATAGCTACTGTAAAGCAGATATAGCTATCTGCAAATCAGTTTTCAACTAGCATTCTAATATCTGGTGTGTAGTTTTTGATGCTGCATTTCCATAAAATTTACTCTTTTAGCAAATATAATCTCACAAAATGAAAATTTTCACATTCTCTGTTGTTGGGAAAAATGACAAATTTCAAATGGGAAAATCAATGTTTTTTTTTTTTTTTTTTTTTTTTTTTTTTTTACAACTAGTGAACTCTATAGTCCTGTCATGATTTGTTGTGACAAAGCAATGAATGAGAAAATAACACTGATAATAAAAATGACAGTTAATTCTAAAAATATAAATCTACATGTATTAAAATAAATACAACAATTCTACGGTAACTTAGCAGTTACTTCAATGCTGGTGCTGAGATATCTGCTAGCAGGTGGATCATTAAATATTCTCTATATAATGTCAGCATTAGCAGCTGAAAAATCTATTTACGTATCCTATTAACAGCAATCAATTGAGACAAATGTCTTATCTAAGCAGCACTGCACCATCACTGGATCTTCACAAACTGGCACTCCTGATCAAATCAATAGCAGTACAAACTGCTTCTTACCTGGACCACCGGTGTGTTTGGAGAACTCTTCTTACTAATGTGAGCTACATGCAGATAACAGCCAACCATCTGCCCCACTTTCATGCCAACTGCATGCTGTCCATATCTACATTCAACAGATTTTGCTCACTATTTTGATAATGGATACTTTCAATAACTTAGTGAGACTCCATTACAACCACTGCTGGCTGAAATTGCCTAGAGGAACACACAAAAATTTCAGTCTTTATTGAACTTAAGAGTCTCAATACTTGCACAGAGTCAAGCAACTATGACAGGTTTGCCACTCAAATAAGAGAATGAAATACCAAGATTCTTCCAGTTTTTCCAGGTGTGTTTCAAGAAAATTCCAGGCTATCCACATAGTGTGCGTTGGCTGCACTAAGGGTAAATTAATTATGGTGCCATTTATAAACGCAATTCCAATTACATATGACTTACACACACACACATATATATAATCCCTAAAGCATTACTTTTATAACTATAATAGGAGTTGTTTTCTCCACTGAGAATTGAAATTAGAGTCTAACTAATTGGGATTAAAAAAATGTCTTTTTTGCAGACATTTTGCAGCTGAAAGAAGAAAGAAATCTATTTAATGCTATTTTTAAATAAATTCAAATATTTTATATTTATTTAACAGCACACATAAGTAAAACGTATGTGTACTAAATTTCGTAACGATATGTCATATTACTGCTAGAATCAGTTTTGTCTGAAATTTGAAAATATTATTAACTAATAATAAATAAATTTAGAAAGAAGGAGACACATTAAATGATGCAAATAACATTAAAATATTGCACTGCAAAATATCGACGGTATTTTGGCAAATATTAAATGATTAGCCTAGATGATTGATTATAATTATTTTCTTTTTTTATTTTACTGCAAAATGACAAATAAGGCATTTAAGAAAGAAGAAAAGTTTTAAGAGATTTTGTTTTATACAAGAATGGGAGGAATTTACTTTCACCAACGTGCACTGCACATGCGAATCTGCGGATTTTCAAGGTCACTGGAAACTTGACCTGCCATTCTAAAAGACAATCTGACTGGTGCTGCAAAAACTGGCTCTACACCAGCTGTCCGAATGATGCTCACACGAGACATGATTTGCCGACAAAGTTATCGTTTCCAATGTTGGCGCGAAAATCACTTTTTTGGGGATTGCCGTATGAAATTCCCTGACTTGTCCAGATTTTGACTAAAATATTTAAATTCCCCGATTTTCCCTTGACATTGAAATTTCAAATTTAATTAATATATTAACACTTCGTCATGAGTATGTATGAACTTTAAAGATAAATAATCTTCTATTTTTGCTTACAATAGTTAGAGTTACATTTATGGAGAGTTGGACCAATAAAGCCATTTGAATGTGTCCTGAATTTTATTTTTATTTATTTATTTATTATTATATAAAGGTAACTGATGCCGTAGTGGCACAATCATTTATGATAAGTAACCATTTACATCAGAAGCCAGAAGCCTCTGCTGTTGGTTAGGAAATTAAGATGATGATAAAGGCACTTTCACAAAAATGCAAATTATTTATTCAAACAAATCACACATTCTGTAAGAACAGAACATTCTGTAAGTGGACTGACAGAAAAATTTATATACACACTGTTCAAAAGGTACAGAAAAAGATTCAGTGGGAGGTTAAAAAAAATGTATCATATAATCATAAAGAAACATTTATTGTAACATTTGCACATATTGTAAATGAAATCAAAGGAAGAAATCTCATTTTAAGCGCTGCATGCAATCAAACACAATACATCCTCAAGTTATTTGGGAAATGATTATGCGCTTGGAAAAGACTAAAAATTAAGCCCTAAACATGATATAAAGTATAAATTGGTTTTTGAACAAATTACTGATATTGTGATGGCTGTTATTAAGCAGTCCATAGCACATTATCTTCATCCCTATAATAAAATATGCAGTACCTTGATATTGTTGCGTGCGTACGGGTTCGTTATGAAATGAATGCACAAGTCCGATGAAAAATGAACAAAAATTTATTATTATCACAACAAAAAATGCTTAAATTTTCTCAAATTATCATGCAGTATTACAATATCTCACAGTAGTTTTCTTTTAACTACTCAAATGTCCAATAGAACGTAATTCAAAAACGCTAAAGAACGCTAATCCGCGAATTCGCTACAATCCACAACAGTAGTTTTCTAAACAACAACAAACTAAGCAACTACTACAAACTGAGATGTTTTCCTCCTTTTAAAGATTTTAAAATCACGCGCTAGAATTTCCAGTACTTTCTCGAAATCAAAAAGAGATATTTATTAAATGTTACATGCACGCGCTCTTGTATTTTCAATTTCCGGCTTAGCTTTCTTTCTAATATTCGTCACGCGCTACACTGCGCGAGAAATAAAACCATTTAATTTATAATTGAACTAACATTAGCTTTTTAAATACCAAATTCGTAACAATATTTAGATACCTTATGAAAGACTGTAAAAAGTGTTGTGAGAGTTAGCGCATTTTTTTGCTGTACAAATTCAACCAAAACAACTGTATGGTATTGACACAAACTAGATCTTATCACCTTATTCAATAAAATCTCACTTAGCAACTACTTTCTTAAGATGAACATCTATGAAAATGATGAGTATTTCAAAGAATAAAATTAAATAATAATACTGAACATTATAGATAATCATACTGATTATCATATCATATTGGTTTATTGTTATATGCTTTGAAATTCTAAAATAAATTTGAATTCCCTTTTAACTACTTTTGAGATCTGTACAGATTAATTTTTAAAATGAAAGTGAAGAAATGTTTTGTTTCAGATTATTAATTAGATTTCAACATATATAGTATATCTATAATAAACAGTATCACAAAAGCATTCGCTTTTAAATTTATTTCCTTGCTTACAGAAAACTATGCATATTCTCCAAGCGCACCACAGCTTTCTGCTATACACACTATCTTTAGACTTTTATTCAAAAACATGTTCAACCTATGGTGCACAATTGTTTAAAAATTAGAAGAATTTTCAAACTGAACCAAACCTCATATTATAAAAATTCTTATTAGCATGATACCAACTGATTTATATCCCTAAGGCATCAAAGATAGAACATTTAGAAGCTTAGTTTGCACGTTCTGGCATGTCTGAAGAGCAAACTCTAATGCACACAGGCAAATGAAAAGATAATTTAATAATACATTAAGCAAGTTTTAAAGATGATTTCATGCAAACCTTCACTTTGCTCTAGCCTAATACAAATACATTAATATACAGAAAATAGAACATTTTTGTAAGTATCATCATGCACATATTTACTGACCTGTAAAAAAAAATATATTTATTTTTAATCAAAGGTACATTTTAGTGAATAAAAAATATTTTTGTTTAGTAAATAAAATACACCGCTGGCAATTAAAACTGCTATCCCAGTAGAGAAAGGAAATAGCTGACTTTATTTATTGTACATATAATAGTATAATGAAAGGAAGGCATGATTAAATTTGCAACTGTTGCGGTATACAGAATGCAAAATTCAGTACAAAGAGCTGCCACCTCTGGCAACAACAATGGCTGTAATCTGGGCACAGAAATGAATTGAGCTTGGATACAGACATTTCATTCAATAAAACCTTCAACTCTATACCAGAATTCATCAGTCGTAGGCTGACAACTCATGACCAGATGTTTTGAATGGCTGACATATCTGGAGAAAATGCTGGCTAATGCAAAAGTCAAACATCCTCTCTATGAGGAACATCAAGCAGAACAGCTCAAGCAATATACAGTTGTGCATTACCTTGTTGAAAGATAGTGTTACAGAGATTTCAAAGGTAAAGCACAGCCACAGATTTTAACATAATAGAAATGCAATGGTAGCTGTCTATATTACTGGATATGCAAACAAGAGGTAACCATTATGTGTCCCTAATGACAACCCCCATCAGGATACCAGGCAGTGGACCCATATGATAACAATGAACGCAAGCTGGCTATGTCTGTTCTTGGTGCCTTCAGACACTGATTCACCTATCATGACAATGGGATTCATCTGAAAAGGAGTCATGTTGGCATCTGTGGGTTCAGTGGCACTGTTTATCATACCACCATAGAAAAGGCTTGTCTCTCCACAACAATTCGAAGTGTGTTGACAGTTTGTGAAGCTTCATATGTGATTGCAATGTCTACGCGGACACCTGTCACCCTGCACATGAGCTAAGTTCCTGACTCACGGAATGCGACATGGTAGTAAGATTCCACAAAGTGTAGAGGACAATATATCTATCCTTTTAAGTGTTAGTAGCCCAGGCTGCATGGCGTTCAGTATGGCCCTCGTGAACCCATCAATTTCATACTCTCTGATCATCACAGAATTCCAGTTGACATGAGCAGCAATGTCGCAATCCTGCTGCAGCTTCAGATATATGTGCTGAAGTCCAACAAATGTTGGAAGGAGTTTCTTTCAAGGTTCTTTACATGAGGCATAGCATGATCTTTATACATAAACAACTAATGCTCAAATGCAATTTCCAAATGAGGAACCCACTGTGCAATCTTCTTATTTATATACAGCATAAATGCCATTACTCACAGGAATTCCAATCACCTGCATATCCTAGCATGTAGCACCTTATATGCAAATTTCCCATTTATTATATGTAGCCTTCACATTGTAGCAATTTTAATGGCCAGTAGTGTAAATCTGATTGATGTGGTTACTTGAAACACATTTTGTATCAAAATAAATACCAGACTAGACTTACTAGACTTTCTTTTATTTTTTTTCTTTTCAGTATCATTTGAGGCTTTCTCTTCTAAAGACTCAAGATAACCATCTGGATACTAGTAAAGCAAAAATAAAGGACAGAGTGAATAAATAGAAAAACATTCTGAAAATATAGAATGAATTTCCAACATGAAAAAATGGCAATAATTGAGGAGTATGCTACAAATAAATGAAAAACTCCTACATATATTAAAAGAAATTTAATTCACAATTAAGTGGCAATCTTATTATTCATTAAAATGATTTCATGAAACAAAAGCCTATCAAATGCAGGATTGTGTATAAGGAACTGAACATCAAACAGCACATATTTGTACTTGGATACAATATGAATTCACATTAATAAAAAAGAAATCATCGCTGAAAAGAGATTCTAATACATTTTATCAAATGTGGAGAAATAAATATATTAATAAATAAAACTGGGTACTCTCTTACATAAAACAAAACACTTTTTTTTTTTTAAATGCTTGGCATTATTTTAATAGTTACACAGTCAAATTTAGAGAAGATCATAATAGAAATCAATCCAAAATGACTGATCCAACTTCAAACGACTATCGTTAAATTTTATAAATATGTATTATCAAGTAATACATGAAATGAAAACTATTCAAGTTTTCTTTTAAGTGTTTCATATAGCTTTCTTTTGTCACAGTCAACAACATGATAAATTCCAACCATATTTGCTTTATCGTATTTTGTTTTGTTTGTGAAAAAATAAATGAATACATAAATAAAACTAGGTACTGATCCAATTTCAAATGACTATCTTTAAAACTTATAATGTGAACTGTCTGGACTAAAATGAAATGAAAATTATTGAAGTTTTCTTTTAAATGTTCTACATAACTTCTTTTTCTTACAGTAACATCAACAAGATTATTAATTCCAGTAATACTTGCTTGATTGTACTTTGCTTTGTTTCTGTATTCATAGTAGTAATGTAGTTTTTCATGTAGGCTTGCATTCAAATATGCTATAAGCACTATATTCTTAATATACTTCCCAAGAAAAAAGTCACATAGAAGTCGCTTTCTAGTAGTGGCCTAGGACTGAACAACAATAAATTATTTGAATTACAGTGAAGCACACAAGAGATATCTATCTAAGGGGAGATGCACCTTCATTGATGACTTTTTTTAGGGAAACTAGCTCTGGTCAGAGATTATACATGGAAAAACCATGATGCAACAAGTTACCATAACTCAAACTCAGGTTGAACTACTAATTTTCAGTAATTTTACTGCTCAGCTGATCGTAGGCTGATGACCTAGAAAAACAGCTACGGAATATCAACTCATCCTCCATTTATAGACATCATTAAAAGTGAAATTGAAAAGGATTACCCACTGATTCATCGAAAAATATAACACATAAAATGCCATTTGGAAGCAGTTCACATTTCCCCAAAATGCAGCTTTTTGCAGACTGGAATATAGTAGTACCTTCTTTTAATGATAGTTTAAGACTAGGAAGTTTCCTTATTCATTTGATGTAAACTAAGTTGAGGCAAAAGGGCAAACAGGGTGAATCTGAACAGGAGGGCAAAACTTTAGGAGGTGATAGAAGGCAACTATATGAGCAATATTCGTCACAGAATGTATAGTCGGTGGGCGAAGAGTGAGCCGCAAGGCGGCATTGTAAATAAACAGCATGAAAAGGGGCAGTCCTCTCACCCAATGGTATTTTCTACTGTGGATTGCCGAGAGGACTGTTGTTTACACGAACCACAAAATTTCCTGGGCTATGGATTGGTTGAGGTGGTCCCATAGCTTGGCCATTAAGATCATCAGATCTCTCATGTTTGTACTTTTCCCGTGGGGCCATATAAAAAGCCTAATCTACAAGTGCTCCATTGAAACCAATATGGATCTAGTTGCCAGAATCACCATTGTTACTGGTGATATTCGGGAAATGCCTGATGTCTTCGCAAATGTACGTTGATCCCTATCCGGCAGGCGTGAAAGCCTGCATTACAGTTAGCGAAAGGTCTTTTGAGCAATTTCTATGAGCATGTTCTGTTAATAAAATGTTTTCTGAAGTATCTCCTCTCATTCTTGTGTTAATTCTTCCAATACGACAGTGGCAAACTACCCTCTAACTTCTCACCGCTTGCTTTCCGACCATACATTCTGTGATGAATACTCTGTGATGTGACCATACATTCTGTGATGATAATTCTGTGATGAATCATATAGCTGCCTTCTAGCACCCCTACAGCTTTGCCCTCTTGTTCAGATTCACCCTGTATATTAAGTTTATGCAATTTATAATTATGCTGAAATTAAATATGATCAATAGCTTTGAACAGTTTTGTAAATCTGAATTATTTTATATAAATCTGAATAATTTCAAATGGCCTGTACTTTCATGCAGGTTATATTTTTTACGTTATTTTTTCTCAATTTGGGTACATTTTTTAATATTAAAAAAGCTAAATTATTCTTGTTAATAAAATAGTGCATTTATTTACTATGCATAGCATTGCTGCACTGCATACTCAGTTTTATGAATTTTCCTATGCCAGCATAAAATATATTTTATAATAAACAAGTTTTAGAAATGATGAATAGAACTTCACAGTATATAAGTTACTGAATTAAGTAGCTTGAAATGTCCATAATAATACACAACTAAAATGCATTTATATCAATGTTCATTAAAACGTTTGTGTAATACTTACCTGCATAGTCAAACCTAATTCTTCGATTCGCTTTTCCCCAGCTTTAGTCCAAGGTGCTGGAATTGGGTCGTCCCGTCTTAATAAATACCTCCAAACTAGATATCCAGATTTTCCTTTCTCTGGCCAATACTTCACTACCTAAAAAAGAAAGAAACCTCTCCAATTAAATGAATAATAGATATTGTTATTAAATATAAATCTGTCCACTCTAAAATAAATGCATTTCAAATAACATGAATTTGCAAAGGGTAAAACGAGTGGGTTCTTTCTCATAAATAACATTGATTTTGAATCATTCAACATTTTTAATATGAATTTTTTTTTTTCATACAGAGGCTGCAATTCAGTTGAACAATTTGGCTGAAAATGTAACTTTCAGATTTGGGAAATCATAATATGCCAGATGAGAAAAAAAAACATTTCCTAATGAATGAAATTTCTGTAATTTTTATAACTGAAGACTGGCTGGTAAATCTGCAAATTTATTGAGATGGGATTTTGGAGCAGAATTGCTATTCAAAAGAAATTACACCAGTTAAAGTTTACAAATTTACATATTATTTAGGCAGAATAAATAATTCTTTATACATATGGGTGACAGACATAACTCCTAGGTTTCAAATCTAAACAACAACAAAAGATATTATGTAAAATTTTATTTCACAGTTTGAAGGAACAAAGTTGATCATTTTATTTCCACACCTGACTAAGAAAGAACTTTGTGGATGGTGCCACAGTGCATGTAGCAAGCATGTCAATGAACATGTTACATGAAATATTTCCTGGGCATCTGATCTCACTCTAAGGGTGTCATTCCATACCCAGATCATTACTTCGATCTTGCATCTTTCTTTTTCCTTTAAGTAGGGTACATAAAGACAACGTTTACTAAGGATGGCCGAAGAAAAACAATGAACTGAAATGTTATCAGACAGGAAATTGAGATTGTGACACTGCCTCAATTACTCATTATAATCTGTCACTTTAAAACAGGCACTTCACTGTTATTGCCAGCTCCCTGTTGCAATCGTAACTGGTGTTGTCTTCACCATGTAGCACTTATTTCCTCTGCCTGATTTGAGACTGCAATTGAAGTCAGCCTTCATTCGTGTGCTTTTCACAAAATGATGCTTCCTAAACAGAAATGAAATGTGTGAGTGGGGGAGGGAACTAAGCAACTCAACCTTTTTTTTCTTAGGAGTTGTCATCACAGTTAAAAGTCAAATCAGGCAGCAGAAAAAAATCTTGAAGTTCTTATTTTAAAATGACAAATTGGAGTAAGGTGTTGCAGAGCCTCTTAGCAAGACTTCATAAATGCATATACTGTACAAGCCAGTATTTGGATGATATTTTCAAAACAAAGTGAATTGCATCACACAGAATGGTGTATTGTTGCAAATTGTTAATTTTGATAAATATTGTATACATATTGTTCATTGTAAATGTGCAACAAAATAATACATTTTGGTATTTGCAAATTAACAAAATGACATAATTATTTTCTTTCACATTTTTCCCTCTCTCTCTCACATATCTATCTCTCTATATATTAATTGTAATTTTTTAAATTTAAATTTGGGTTTTAATTTTTTTACACTTAGGAATAATTCTTTGGTTTTATTGACTTTTCAAAGTGACAGTAAGTTTTTGAATAAAAAGTTTTTTAGTTTCAAAATTCTTTGCTTTGTAGCATTATTTCACCTTTTGGAAGATGGCTAGTTCAACTAGGGTTTTTAGTTTTGCCAAAGAAGCCAAACAGGTAGCCCTTGGTGTTTCAGATTGTAACTGAATTTCTAATGACTTTTTCATTGTCAAACTAGTGTTTGATTAGAGGTTCTCACAAATTTTTGTCTTAAGATTATTTTGAAATTTTCACTATATGATTTTAAGTTTTTCTGCATGTTAAGGGAAAATTTTCATTTTAATTTAAGATTCTTTTTAGATGAGAAAAATCCTTTTAAATTGGAAGATATTGTTAATGATTTTACTTCATATTTTTGCAATTTCCCTTTGCTTTATTGAGGACCAGAATTTTTAGGCAAACTATTCAGATTAAAAAATATATTGAAATGGGTCATCAGCTAATTCTGGATAGAGAAAAACAGAGGATTTTGCTTTGGAAGGGGAACTGTAATTGAGTTCAACATGCCTCCTCCTGATAATGTCTTTCAAAGTGTCCAACATGCCTCAGAGTTGATTGGATTCTTCTTCTTTCTTGAACTTTTATATTCCTCTTTGGTTTTTATGGTGATGGTTTACTTTAATTTTTACATTTAAAAATATTCTTATTCTACATTTATAGGATTTTATGAAGTTCATTTGTATTTCAATTTTTCGTCTTCGTGAAAAATTGGTTTTAAATTTTTCTTTACACATCGACTGATCAATTTTCAGCGGCATAATGCGAAAAAATTGAGAGGATTATAAATTTTCCTTTTAAAAATTTATTTATTTGTATCTATCTATACATATATATGTGTGTGTGTGTGTAATAAAAACAAAATTAGATGTACTGATGTAACACTGAGACGTAGAAACACAGAAAATACTGATTACGCAGATACTTGATGGTTTAGATTATAGATCCATAGTGAAAAATAAGAATTTGATTTCTTAGTTTGCTAATACGTTGATTTGTAATATTTAAGAAACTTCCCCATTATGCTAATACATTGAGTTTGTAATATTTAAAAAACTTCCCTATTGAGGCAGATTAAATTCCATTTTTATTTAAGTCTACATTTGTGGCCTTAGAGTTTAGGTTCCAAATTAACAATAAGTCTAATTAACTATTAAAGCTATGTCATCAGCATTGTGCAAGCAAGCTCTGTGACATATATTAATCTAGAAATAACTTAGTCCAGAAATGTCACTAATTTTTTTAGAATGAAGAGGAAATAACCAAGTTGAAAAAGAGGAATTAAAAAAAAGGGGGGGGACATACAACCTCGTGGATTAGTTCAATTTATGATTATTTTAAGAGGTTTTATGGTCAAAAATAACTGTTGTTGATTTTTATGGTTACAGCCAGCATCAGAAAAATTAAATAATTAGCTCTTCTATTGTTAATAACTAGCTTCCAGTGGTAACTCTTTCAGTTAACAGAAATGAGAATTTTATTAGAAAAATGACAATGTAAATTTTTCAAATACCTTATAAATGCCATCATAGCGATTACCCTCTTCTGGGCAATATTTTGAATGCTTTCGCCCTTTGCAGTTTCTAACAACTCTCACGGGTTTTCCCTCCTTCCACTTCTTTGATTCTGCACCATCCTTACTCAAGGGTGCATTACAATTTATTGCAAGAGCTCTGAAATAAAAAAGTAAAAGATAAAAAAATCAGTTAACGTTGTATAATAAAGTCAGAAGAAAAAATTTAGTGTTTGCTAAATTCCTTTTAAATTTACAACTTCCAATTAAGATGTAAATTTTATTCTCTGAGCCAATATATTTTAGAAACTGAAGAAAATTAGGGACAGCTAAGTTTTGAAGCCTGAAGTCAAATAGATTGCATAAGATATAATATATATATCAAAATTATTATAGCCCCACATTATTTTATACATATATGCAACATTTACTTACAAAATTTAAAAGATAAATAAATCATCATTTGTAATTTTCCTGCTCTTGGCTTCCTCAGTAATTAATTTCTGTTATTTGCTCTGCTGATTATGTTTCTTAAATTAAAATTGTTGATATTTCTGAGCACTTATTTGTAACTTTATTTGCTTGAGAAACTGCAATTTAAAATGAACAAAAATCAATGAAAAATTGGCCTTAAAAATGAGAAATTTAAAAGAGAAAATTTTGAATTGTGTGTAATATATATATAAATTGCAATTCAACAAGAAAAATTTAAGCCTTTGAGTATGCAAATCTAGTGTAAATGCAGCTGAAATTGTTTGCATTTAATTTCTCAAAAATTAATTATTATACTATCCGGGAAAGTGCAATATGCTTGTGTGAAGGAGTATTATAGCTAGTAAAAATATTTAGCAAACAAAAGTACAGGAAAAAAAAAAAATAAAATAACATTAAAACATTAAATAGAAATTAAAATTAAACAAAATAAAATTTAATTTTCAAATTAAGAATAAAAAACAATGAATGGACATGGTTCATGTTTATGCAGAACTCAAATGGCCTTCTGACATGTTTTATTGGTTAAGAAAAATTGGTGCATAACAAGAAATCAAATTTGGAAAGACATTTAATAACTAAACATGCATCATTTGGCAATAAATGTCCAGCCACTGACGCAACAAAAAAAGCAGTTGAAAAACCTCAGAAAAGTCAAGAAAAATCAATATCTGTATTTAATTATTAGGTGCAATCTTGCAACAATGTTAATATTGCCAAGTTTTATTTTTAGTCAAGAGATTGCTCAGAGAGACAAACTATACACAGATGGTGATTACAATAAGGTTGTTTTATAAATGTGACATGAAACTATTTGGGATTTTAAGAATAAGGCTGAAAATCTTAAAAGAATTAGAGTTACTACTGTCAGCTAAAACAGTAAAAGATAGAACAGTTAAAATATCTTTGAATATAACCAATCAATAAATCAAAGATCTTAAACTGGTTTCACCTTTAATAATAGCTGTTGATGAATCTTGTGATATGAATGGCACAGCGCAAGTTTAACTTTTTGCCCAATTAATTTCATCTATGGATCCTAATAAAGAACTTTTAGGATTATTGCCAGCAAAAGGTCAAACAAGTGGCAAAGATATTACAAATGCTGTAATTGAATGCATGGAGAAACATCATATTCCATTGGTAAAACTAGTTCAATTTCAACAGGGCAAAAAGTATGACTGGAATAGGAAAAGGTTTTGTTTCTATTTTGAAAGAAAAAATTAATCATGTAGTACTTGATTATAACTGCAGCATTCCTCAAGAAGCACTTTGCAAGATGAAGAAATTTCCAATGTTATAAATATTGTTAATACAAATTGTACCTTAAGCTATTTATCACTGGCAACTTAAAGAATTTTTATTTTAAATGGAGAATAAATATGCAGATCTTCTGCTACATAATAAGGTACACTGGGTCTCAAGAGAAAACATTTTGCTTCCTTATTATTAGAAAATAAAACATTTCCCTTTGAGAAGGGTGTTATATATCATGAACTAAAGGATGACCAATGGATCCAAAAATTTTATTTCATGGTGGACATTATGTCTCATCTCTTTACTCAATATTTTGAAAGAGAAGCCTTAATTCCTTTTCCAAGTCTGCTGAAACATTGACAAGAAAATAATTCAGTAACTGATATTTACTATTTCAATACAACAGTTTTGAGGGAAACATTTCTACAGAGGTTTTAGGAATACAGAAATAGCATAGGGACTTTAGCCTTGTTACAAAATGATTTTGAACAAGAATGAACAGAATTGTGATGATGTAACTTTTTACAATGTGCTTATGTAACATAATTGAATATTTTCCCCTTTAATTTTTATTTAAGCATAGCACACTTATTTTTTTATGCTGATACTTTTCAAATGCAATCACCGGAGTTTAATAATAATAATAAAAAGGGCAAGGAAATATGGAGCACCAAATCTGAATGTTTTAATGCTGACATAAAAAAAAAAAAAAAAAAAAAAAAAAAAAAAAATGGAGAAAAATAGATGCAAACTTACTTCACAGCAAAACTGTTCTGCTTTGAAAGACCTGGTAAAGGCAGACATAATAATTTTTAGCACCTGACTCGTATGGTGAGTTGAGAAAACTAGCATTTGCTTTTCTTCCAGTCTTTGGCTCTACATATTCATGTGGACAATCTTTTTAAAACGTGAGCATCATCGAAAGTAAAGTTCATGCTTAAAATGTTTCATGTGATCAGTCTTTCATGACCATTCATGCCCACAAGCGGCTGAGTAATAAAGTCACTGAACACTGGTAGTAATTCTTGGGAACTAGCTGGCTACACAGGTATTTTCCTGGTTTTCCCTACATGTTCTCACAGTACCCTTAAAAGGCAGTTTGTGCCAGTGTCCCTTAGAAAGTACTCCATGAAGGCATCCCTCTCGTGAGGCAGAGAGCTCTGAAGTGCTTTGCCATAACCAAACCAAATTTTCAAGGCTATTCATGAATATTTATTTCAGGAATATTCATATGAACAAGTTTTTCAGGCATGACCTTTATCAAAAATAAGATTCATCAGAAATCATCTCATTGATAAGAAAGGGCCTGGAATACTATTTGAAATTAAAAGCAATCTTCAACTTTAAGATGATTATCCAAAATTATTTGATGGTATAAAATCAACAATGTTTCTATGCAGAATGTTTCGATTTCAGATGTATGACAAGCAAAAAGGTGAATCAAATTACAGATCATATAGATTTATGTTAATGAATAATTGTTTCTTCAATATGTAGGTATTTTATTTAGTGCATAAATGAAATTAAGAATCAAGATTTTCCATGTATTTTGTTATGAAAAAATATCAAAATGTGCAAGTAAAAAGCATAAATAAATTAAAAAAAAAAAAAAAAAAAGAGGTTGCTCATGATTCAGAGGTCTGGATTGGTCATTTCGAATACTAGATGTCTGGGTTTTGAACTTTATATATATACATAGAAAGAGAGAGAGAGAAAGGAATTGAAAAAATCTTTAAAATGGAAATACTATCTAAAACAAAATAATAATTACGCTTCAACAGCAAAATTACATTGCAATTGAATTACATTAAACACTAAAATTATAACCTTCCAAAGTTTTACAAAAATGCACTAGAAAAATTTGAGAACAAGTAAGAACAATTTTTAGCACTAAAGCAAATTGAAGAAATCAAGCCTAAATGTTGAAATCATTAGAACAGTCAGACTGAATCATTTTTGCTCCTGTAAGAGGATTGGGGGAAAAATTAATTTCAGAATGGAAAATTAAATTATAATAGGTAACCAGATAAATGCTTCTGATGCCATGCAATTTTAAACCACTAAAGCAAGTTATAAACAACTGTATTGAACCATCTCCTACATGTAATCTGAACAACCAAATTAACTAAAGCACTTTCAAAATGTGGGATAAAAGTAAACTGCAAATAAGATGCAAAATTATGGAAGTATATAAATCAAATAAAAATATCAAAATAGACAACAACAAAAACAATGGGGAGTGTCAATTAACTCCTAATGTATAGTTAAAAAATGTTAAATAATGAAAAAAGGATGATTGAGATACTGATGTTTTACTGAGATAATGATTCAGCATATCGTATAAATGTACAGTTCTGCATACTGTTTAATATTCAGAATACTTCCTTTAATGTTCACGTTTAAATCTTATCTAAAGTATTAAGCAAGAAATGGAACAAATTTTGAAAATAAAACACTACTTTAAAACAACTGAAATTTGTAATACAAGATGACCAAAGGAATAAATAAGCTAAAAGTAATTAAAAAAAAAATCTAGCTGTTACCATGGGGGGGGGGAATCCATGTTTTGGAAAATTTATTAATAATCCAGCAAAATATTAGAAAATGCTCAGATTTATAATTATTTCATTAAATAATAAGCATTTAAACACCTTTTTAATTATGATTTTCCTCTTGAAAGAAAGTAAATTTTTATTTGGAAACAATTAAACTTTATAGTATCAAGATAAGAATTTTAACATTAATTACATTATTTCAGAAAACTTGTCGAGACTTTTTGACACACTGTACATATCCTATTTTCAGTTTCCAGATAATAGAAAGGCACAGAAGCTATATATAAATTTAAAAAAAAAATATATATATGACTGCATTTTTCATAATAATTTATTTCCTTTTCACACTTCCTTGTCATTTATTTTGGTTCATAGAAAAATATCCACATTATGTATACATATTACAGCAATACAGATATAAATTATATTCTTACATACCAGTGTTCAAAGGGAGATATTGAAATACAAATATGTAATTACAACTAAAATGAAAAGATTTCAAAAATTATACTTAATAATATAAATAAGTTTTTACTTGTTCATTCGAGTGAGTGTTTGATCACATGACTGCTCAGCACAACGTTTATTTCCAGATAAATCCCTGCCTCCACTTCCTGTATACTTAAATTCTTCGCCATCATCCTAGAAGATATTTTATTCATTTTTAGATTAAAATAAAAAATTAATCAAAAATAATTTATTCTATTTCGTAAAATACTACATAAAGTTTTGCCCTTAAATATGACTGATTTCAAGTACCCATATAACATCATCAGTAAACATTCTAATTGACTTATTTTTGATTTTCTATAATCATATGAAAATACATTTATTGAATTGAAAGGAATGTAATGACCAGATCATCTTCATATCCTCCAGACAGTACAATAGAATATGCACCATCGCTCTCCCTTCCATGTATGCCTGCAACATGAGGTCGATGAACACCACTTTCTGAAACCTAGAACAAATGCTTTTAAAAATCAGAATAGCAGTGTAGTATTAAAACATACAGAGTAATAAAATACACACACTAATAAATATAAAATAATAAACTATACAGTGATATTCCAAAGTTATGAAGTAATTTGCTCTCAAATCAACAATGGAAGCTGATGCAAATTTTTCATAGACATTGTGTCAAAACAGGAAGCATATTAACAGAGGATTAATTGTCACCAAAATAAGTAAATAAAAATTATAAAGACCACATTCTGATTTGAATAGAATTAAAATTATGACAAGCATGTTAAACAAAAATAACTAAAAATTCACAATTATATTATTATTAATTATTTACATCATAGATTACCTTGTAATGAAAGAATCTTTGAAGATAAGAAAAAAATCATGTGTTATTCTCTGCACTGACAAAGACCTCTTTTTTCTCTTAAAAGTGGATGAGAATACATTTATGTTCTTTCTTTGAAAAAAGTGGGTGAAAATACATTTTGGTCTTTGTTTGTTATTCTTGTACTTGGTGATGGCCTTGTACCTTGTACGAGCTCAAATATTTTCCTCCTTATATTGATGAGATTAAACACTTTGCTTATTATCAAGCATAATATGTTTTAAATGTCTTGATCACTCTTTGATTGAATGAAGCACATAGTAAAGCACATTTAGAAGTAAAGAATAGTTTTAATTTTTATGTTAAAATCAGAAATTAGTCAGGACAATTAACTATCAGTGACAATTGCAATACAAGTGGTTTATATGTGTAAACATTTTCTTCAATGTAAGTTTCAAGGTCAACAATAACACTACCTTTTCAGCATAAAATGGTAGCAGAGCTAATTCTTAAACGCAGAAGCAACTATCAAGAGGGCAAAACAATTTCCTCTGAGCATACCTAAATGAAGGATGGGGGGGGAAACCCTCATTTTTTACCAGTGGCAAGATGATACTTGTTAAGTAAGAATATAAGTGCATATATGTTTGTCATCGGATACAGTGGTTAGAAATGCTTGCAGCTATATTATCGAATTGTTGAATCCTAGGAAAGGTATGGATCTTTAGGATTGCAATAGTGTCTGTGCAGTATATGGGCACTTAATATACTGCCAAGACGAAAGTTCTTTCGAGTGGTTTGGCAATATGAGTAGATGGATGAATGACCATTGGCAAAAGCTGTCCATCAAAATTGGGGCACAACACACACACATAAAAAAAGGGGGGACAGTTCTATATCTCCTGTTCTACCGATTTTCGAAATTTAACTTGCGTTTTCCATGTTTCGAAAGCATGACTTAGGATATATATTGGATTTATGTATAGCATTATTTTGGCACAAAAATCATGCTTTTCCTAAAAAAAATACCAATTTTTTAACAGATTTCAATTCTACGACTCAAATTATGCCAAAGTGCCAAGTTTTGTAAAAATTACACAAGTAGTTTTTAAAACATTAGCTCTCAAAATTTTAGCTCCTACGTGTTAATTGAATTTGGTATATATTTATTAATATCTCTTTTTTATTAAGCTTACCTGATTTTTCTTTTCACATTTCGAAATTTAGGTTCATTTCAAATAAAATTCGCCCATTGTTTCTAATTGATTTTTTTAATTTGTATTTAAAAATAATTTTTATAAATTTTTTGGAAAACATTTTGAATTATAACCTATAAAATTTTTGGGAGACCTTGGCTGTTGTTACGAAAGCTGTGCAATTACATTTGAAGCGGGGAAATGCTGTTTTTTGGTGCCTGGAACAAGAGGTTGAAGTATGCATTAGTAGACCTCGAACAATCACTATGAAGCAAAGTCTAGAATCAAATAATTAATAAATAGTGTTCAACTTGGACAAGAGACTCTCAGTTCTTTTCTATTTTACTGAACAGCTTGCCATGACATGGTCTAAACCAGGATCCAGAGTACTTAACTCAGTAACTGTAATATGGCATGCACTTATCCAGAAACTGCCCAAGATACATTTGTAGAGCAGCTTTGGTGTTACCATTTGCACGGCCATGCATGTGATACATATCTGCTTTTTCGTCATATGTGAAGTTTCCCATCATTGACAACGGCACCATCCTTTACTGAGATGCACACCTAATGCCCCTACTTGCAATGATGTTTTTTAATGTGCAAATGTGTTTTGTGGCATAGTTTGAAGCAAGATTTTTTTAAGTGAGTAATAAAAGGCTATATGGGTGCAGTTCTTCCAGGGTTCGTACACATTTCTGCACATGGAAACGAAGTACTTTTAAGGATCGTCAATGAAAACAATTAAGGACCTATCAACCAAACAGGAACTGAATAAGCCAAAGCAATTATCTACTCAATAAGAACTTCAAAGGAGTCTTCAATAAGAACTTCACTTTCATAATTTGTAAAAATAAAATAAATCTGTAAGTTGGATACATTATTATTTAACTGAATCTAATATTTAACTTAGTTAGAAGACAAATCATGAATAAAATTAACTTCACAAATTTTTTCAAGTAATTAGCTTTAAATTATAAAATTTCTTGAAACATTTATATTTTACACTTATAATAGACCAAATTTTAAAGCAAATTAGTGGTTTTTTTTTTTTTTTTTTTTTTTTTTTTTTAAATTGTACTAACAGTTAGCTTTATATTGAGTATCCAAAAGTATATGCAAATTTTATGCCAAGGGTCATAAGCTAAACTGGAAAATAAAAAAAATAATCAGCATAACTCATAGCAGAAGCTTGGCTGTTGCCACCACAGTTGCTTGCTTAGACACATAGAGCTGCTGATCAGAACAGACATGAATGCCTGGCTATGACAAGTGTCGAAAGTTAGTTGCATTTTGTCTGACCCAGTTAGTGCCTTAGCTTTGAGTAAATTTGCTGAAGATGTAACCCATTAATAGTATTTAATAAAATTTCAATAAGTCACTGAAGTATCAGAGACGATAAGTTGTTTTGTATTATTTTAAATCTCACTGGCTGCAAGGAATAAATTTTTATCTTAATTTTTACATTTTTGCATTGTATTCTGCATACACAATAATGATTAAGGAAACACTCATCTTAACATGTAGAGATGACTTCTAAGGGTAAGCAGTTAGTTACATATAAGTAAAATATGTAGTTAGATACTCATAAGTCATAACAGATTTACTTTAACATCTGTAATAATACTGATGTATTCTCCACTTCAGAAACCATTTATTCTCAACATGGATGTGTGCAATAAATAAATTATCAATGTGCCATACCATAATGCAGCAAGTGTCTATCTAAACTGGACAGAAATTACTGCCCCACCAGAAAAGAGTTGCTTGCCATAGCTGTAGAACATTTCCACCATTACCTCTACAACAGAAAATTCCTGCTCCCCACAAATCATGCATCTTTTACTTGGCTCTTAAATTTCAAGAAACCCCAAAACCAAATAGCCAGATGAACATAGGCTCCAGGAATATGACATCATTATCCGTCATTGGAAAGGTTAGTCGCATGGAAACACAGAGCCCTGTCTAAAAGACCCTACCCAGTAAGCTTCCGATATTGTTCCTGGGTCAGAATGAAACCTGAGCTGGTTAATCCGATCCTATGTCAAGTTACAAATTCAACCTTATCTGACCCAGACCTATGGAGTGATGAAGTCAGGAAAGACCAGTTGGAAGACAGTGATATTAAACACATAATTTACTTAAAGGAGTCTTCAAATAGGATAGCAACTGGCAGAGAATTTCAATCTATAGCCCTGCGAGGAAACAATACTGGGCTCTCTGGGACTTAGTCCATATTCAAAACTGAAATTTCTTGCACTGGAAGATCAAATCATACGATGAAAAGGAATTCTGATGGCAGCTAATACTTCCAAAATCGTGGATGTCCTTAAAGAATTACATAGCAATCAGACAGGAGGCTACTTTGGAATAATGAAGACTGCACAGAGTCTGACAGTGCTCCTACTAGAACAAAGCAAAAGCTGGTATGCAAAAATGTTGGCAATCTTGCGATGCCTGTGGAAGTCAGAAAGGACCGAAGAAACACAGCCAACGGAAGGAGCATCTTTTGAACTCATCGCCTTCGACATCCTGGGACCTGTGCCACAATCTGCTTTTGGCAAAAAATACATTTTAGCTGTCATCGATGACTTTACAAAGTGACCTGAATCATACTCTGTCCCTGATCAAAAGGCAGGCATGGTAGCAGAAGTAATGATACAGCATTTTATTGTCAGATTCAGTTATATTCCGATCAAAGAAGGAATTTTATGTCAACAATATGTAAAGTACCCGACATAGACAAATCCAAATAACACATTTACACCCATAGTCAGATGTCTTTGTAAAGAGGTTTAAATGAACTATCCTTAACAATCGTTCACTGATTGTTTTCAGAAATCAATAGGACTGGGACCAGAACTTAGTTCTGTTCTTACTGGCCTAACATACTGCTATCCACGAGATTAATGACTATTCTCCATCCCATATGCTCTTCAGTCATGACCCATCACTGCCTTATGAGCTCTTGTTTACTATTCCCTTCAGATGCAGCTTCATTCCCAGAGGAGTACATTTAAGATCTTCAAGCATGGTTTGAAGTGATGCACAATTTTGCAAGAGAGCGAGTCGTGGCAATGCAGAAGATGGAGACCCGATGCAACTGGAGTGCTACAGGACATCGATTCAACAAAGGTGACAAGTTGTGGTTATGGAACCTGATTTGAAAGAAGTACTTTCTTCCAAGCTATAGTAATCCTGGGACAGTCCTTACACAGTCCTAAAACATGCTAAATAATGTCATAGTTCAGATCATCAGTTGTTCCTTCTAACAGTCTAGCCCCTTCCTGTGGCCATAGTATGTAGTTTCTATTGTGTATACGATGTAAATAATATACTAAGGCCAAGGTTCTCCGTGTATATAAATTTGTCCACCATGGTTCTACAAGTGGCTTTATTTATTGATTTAGTATTTTATTTGTTATTTACTGAAATTATTACTTTGGTATTGCGTCTGTTTAACTTTGTTGTAAGCATGGCTTCCTGTTTGGGTATATAATGCAAACAGGGAAGTATATAATGCACGTTGCGAATTTTATATACATTGCTCGACATTGAAAATGCAACACCAAGAAGGAGTGGTCGCAAATTTTAAAGTAGACGCGTGTCACTGAGTTATGTGATTGATGTGAAATGCGCAGCTCTCCTCCGAATGTGAAGTAAGATATAAGAGAAGGAATGTGCAGAATGGGCAATATTTGTGTCGTTATTTCTGCCAGATGAATTATCGAAAAAAGTTGGTTTTTGTCACGGAGGATAAGTGTAATAGGAGAGAATGCCAGGCTGCCATCAACAAAGAGACTTCCAGCAGATAGACGATTTTATGAGGGGTATGGTGATCGGACTGAGAAGGGTGGGTTGATTCTTACATCAAATCGCAGCTGATACCCACATGGATGCGAGCACAGTGCATCGGCTATGGCGAACATGGTTGGAACGAGGAAATGTGGGAAGAAGGAAGGGTGCAGGTGCAGCCAGAGTGACGTCAGCACGCGTGGATAGACGCATCCGCCGACAAGCTGTGGTTGCCCTGCAAGTCACCTGTACCGTGTTTCTGCAGCATGTGCAAGATACCCTGGATGTTCCCGTGTCAACCAGAACCATTTCCCGTCGATTGGTTGAATGTGGCCTGCACTCACGGCGTCCGTTAAGAAGACTGCCATTGACCTCACAGCATAGATGGCAATGTTTAGAATGGTGCCGGACTGGAGCGATGTGGATGACAGAATGGTGCAATGTCGTGTTCTCAGATGAGTTATGTTTTTGATTATCCAGTGACAGTCACCGCATACGTGTGTGGCGTCGACGTGGAGACAGATCTAATCCGGCAGTAACTGTGGAACGCCCCACCACGCGACAATGTGGTAAAATGGTTTGGAGAGCTATTGCCTACGATTCCAGGTCACCTTTAGTTCGTATTCAGGGCACTACGACGGCCCAACGATACTTGGATAATGTACTGCGGCCAGTGCCAATTCCCTACCTTCAGGGCTGCCTAATGCAATTTTTCAGCAGGATAACGCTCGACCACACAGTGATCGCATCTGCCAACATGCTCTGCAAGGTATACAGATGCTTCCTTGGCCACTGTACTCTCCTGACCTGTTCCACCAATCGAACATGTGTGGGATGTGATTGGATGCTGTTTTCAGACTCTGCCCCTGCCTCGTTCAGAAGACGAACTGTGGCAAATGGTTGAAAGGGAATGGAGAGTCACCCCTCAGGACACCATCCGCACTCTTATTGACTCTATGCCTAGATGTGTTTCTTCGTGCATCACTGTCCGCGGTGGTCTTACATCCTACTGAGCCGACGCCCTTCTCGCTCTGTATTCTGACTATTATTTTGAAATAAAGATCACTTATTGCTGCTTGCTGTGTCTGTCTTTTTTCTAAATTTCATCACTTTCTGACCACTCCTTCTTGTTGTTGCATTTTCAATGTCAAGCAGTATATATACAAATAATTTTAGTGAAATTGTAGTATCTCTTTTTAATGGAGCATAAAAGACCTCAAGAGAGTGAAGCTTCGCCAGAAACATACATAGGCAAGTACATTTAATATTGAGGTAAATGGTTCATTGAGATAGTGGCAAGGTGTCAACAAAATAACCATAATTTGTCTGATCCCTATATGTAATACATCTGGCTCTATATTTAACTGTAACTGAACAAGCCTTCCAGCAATTTCAATAAATAAAAGGTACTGTAAATCTCTCGGCGGATGTGTCGAGAGTATTGACAGGGAAAACAATAGAAGACTAGCGAGAGCATCAGTTCTGAGTTTTTTTAATGAGAGATATCTGTGTCAGCTTCACTCTTTAGAAGCACTTTGCACTGCCACTGTGTTTAGCATTCTTAGTAGTATGAGGTGACAACTATTGATTGTGCTCTGTCATGCTGAGAAGAGCAGTACAAGTTCTAGTGAAAAGTTCCAGAACTATAAAGTGCTTCTTTTGGGAAAATAAATTTTATCAATCAACAATTGGTTTTGTGCGCATTCAATCTGTTACAAACCTGTACACATGTAACAATATACTTGTATTCAAGCAGCATAAGTATTAATGTAAATGTATTCAAGACATGCTTTCTTTTGGATAGATCAATTAAAATTTGTATTATAACAAATCTGATCATATTTCTCATACATTATCAAAAAATCATTACCTAACTCATTAAGACATGCAGAGCAAAATATATAAATTATAAAACTTTTTGCTTTGCCTTCAGCCTTTAAAGAAATTATGTTTTAATTATGGTTTCATCAGCAGATGGCACCACTAGCTTATTTTCTGTCCAGGCTTTCTTATCTTATCTGATCATTATATCCTATCTCGTTCATTTGCACTTTTGCAGCTGACGATAGTGGTTCGGTAAAACCATCGAAACTAGTCCTGAGAAAATTTGAAAATATAACGCTGATTTTTGTTGTTTGACTTCTGAATTAGTGTCTTAATTACAAGAATTGTTTGCAACAACTTTTTAAAATATTTAAACTTGTGTTTGTTACAAAGAAATCAGTAGAAAATGCTTCTGCTGTTAAGAAAAAACATCTCATACTTAAAATGGTTTAGTTCATACAGAAGAGAATGCTTATTTATCCAACACATAATGAAACTGAAGAAGAGCAATTTAATTTTCCTTTGTCAGATTATAAGTATACAGAAAGCTTACCTGCACACGAAATTTCCACATTGTCCCAACTTCAACTCCAGGTATAGGGCCAAAGTGGTTTGGTGGGACAATGGTACATTCTTTTGTTCTGCCAACACAAGCCATGCCTTTACCCCAATCTCGGGATGTTGAACTTGTTGCAGAAGCCATTTTTGATTTCTTCTTACTAGCTTTCAATTTTTCTCCTGCTCGAACAACTTCAGTTTCATCATTTTTACATTCAGGACAGTACCTGGAGTAAAACAATTCAGCACATTCTATTTTATTGAAAAATCAGTAGGAACTACACCACTAGATATAAAGTAAATAACACATTCATGCATTCTCTACAAATTGACAGGGTTTTCAAAGTCTATACGAAGAATTTTCACAAATTTTTTTTATTCATTCCTGAAATTTTTATCCGGTGTTCAAATTTATTAAACAAAAAATAAAAACATTTATCTAGAAAATCAACAATTTATTTACCTGAAATGAGTTAAACTACTTAAATGGCAATCAAGGATAGATGAACGGCAATTATTTCCAGCCTTTTCAGCTAAAACATTATTAGATTTTTACAAATATTTTACAATCTATTGTTATTACACTGTTTTTAAATAATTCCCCCCTTCTTGATATGGAAATTATTTTTATTCATACACAAAGGAACACTCTTTTAGACCTTCTGCCACAGTTGCTTTAGGAGCATTATTTCTCAAACTATCACAATATAAGCAGCATTGGTTTCCCAATATGCTCAGATCATGTTTCAAAAGAATGTTCATTTATTTATTTTATTTTTAGACTAGCAAAATAAGAAAATCTTTAATCAAATAAAATTTTTTAACTTTTCAATCTACATCAAATAAAAAGTTGTGCTATCTAAAAAAGAATAGTGTTTAGTACTAATACTATAAATTTATAGATTGCATTGGACTATAGTTAGAATTAGTAGGGAAAAAATAATTTAGGTTGTTTGCAGGCTAGATAATTTTATCCTTCATGTTTCATGCGTTTTGAAATGGAAACTCTCATGTCTTTCAGTTTTTCTCAGTAGTTATGAATCACAATTAGATCTTGGAGACACATTACTGCTACATCTCTGGAAAAAAATTAGCTCAATAGCTGTGTGAGGTTTTGGTGAGCATCTTTCGTCAATGCACATCTTTTGCACTTCTAATGCAAGTTTTATATTATATTTTTAATTATCTAGAGCTTAAGACCTAGAGCAGGGTTTCTTAAACCTTTTCAGTCGCGACCCCTTTTCATCACTGAGATTTTTTTTGCGACCCCCAGGACCCCATAATATTTACAAAAGTTTTGTGGGACCCCATAAGTAGTGTGCAAACCGTAAGAGAAACTGTCAATTTTTTCACTTGTACTGTAATATACTATTGCAGTTTTAGGTCATTAACTTTAATTTCTAATTTTAAGACATAGAACAATGTGAACATTTTAAATAACTAACAGACGAAATGACAGCATCATGTGCAAAGCAAGGAAAATGAACATTTATATTGTAAAAAGAATGTGTCGAAATGTTTTTGTTTTTTTTCTTTGTCTGTATTGTCTTATCTTTATCGATTTTCAGATACAATGTGTAAAAATATTTGGTAACTGTAAAATTATTAAAACACTTGTAAGTTAAAGAAATATCAAAACTACTAAAATTTTTGGCAACCCACTGCTGCAGGTCCTGCGACCCGCAGTTTCTGGCCTAGAGAGACAGCATCCATTCTCTCAGAGAACTGGGATAGACTGTGCAACTTGGCATTAAATTTTAGGTTTATTTTATTATGGAATGACAAGAATTTTTATCCTATTGCACCAATAACATAATTTAGTGGCAGTTCTGATTAAAAATACCAAGCAATAAGCAAATTTGGACCGCAGAAGAAAGCCTCATTTTGCTACTGTAAAATTTAACTGCCCACCCAGTAATTTTCTCCCCCAAAACTGTGGTGCAGTGACACAGTGTGACTATGGAGAAAATTAGAACTACAGTTAGGGCTATGGTGAAATTCTAACGTCCTGCCCACTTGTACGTGTACCAGCACTGTAAAATTTGAAAAAAAAAAAAAGCTGTAATAGAAGTGCAAAGCTCCTTTAAGGCTCACGCAGCAATTTAGTCTCCCCAAGCAGCCCAGACTGCAGTTAGTTTCTACTACAGAACACAAAAAATTATTTTAACATTTTTTATGATAAGTCAAATTGTCAAGATTTCCTAAAACATTTAATTAAAAAAATCATAACAGATAATACATTACTATGTTTATCCAATTTTTCGCTGCTTCTTGCTGCTCAGAAAGTTCGGTTCTTATCGCTGTTACTTATAAAATAGTGGAGATTTGAAAAGCCACAATAGCACATCAAGTAATTGTTGGCTCGTCACAGCAGCACAAGTAACATGTGATCTAGTGCTTTCGTGTTAAAAATTAGCTGCTGAGTGGCTGTATGATCAAATCAACATAATTTTGAGGTGTTGGTGTGCCAGGAAAGAAGACTAAAGAGGACAGCTTATTATGCAATATGCCAGTGGTCTCAAACTGATGGCCCACGGGCCACATACGGCGCGTAAAGCAATTTTATGCGAATTTTCAAATACAATGTTATAAAGATTTTGTCTACTTGAAATTTGAATTTACATTATTTTCATTTCCATTAGAAACTAATGTGAATAACACATCCGAAAATCTATAAATGGAGCTAAATAATTTAGAGTGTGGCAGAATTTTTTCCCCAAACTTTTGGAGATACAGATCTTATAAACCTTTATTTGTATTCCTCAAAAAATAAATAAATTTAAATTATGAATTTTTGCAATAAGAACAATCTATTTGTTCAGGAAGGCCTTTATATGTGAATAGTGTTTTTTCACGGTACAGTCAGATGGCGATTTATACTGTTTTATGAGATATTCTTCAAGTTCCTTGTTTGTGTATTCACCACCGTTATCACTTCTTAGTGTTTTTACTTTTCTTCTGAATTTATTGTTTGCAAGAGCAATAAATTATTTTAGTTTGGAAATTACTTCCTTTTTCTTTTTCATTAGGTAAATCATTTTAAACCTACTGCAATCATCAATAAAAGTTACAAAGTATAGGTAACCACTGACAGATGGTGTTTGTACTTGTCCTAAAACGTCAGTGTGAATGAGTTCAAGCAGTTTCGATGCTCTGAATTTCGATTCTTTGAAATGTGGAAAATCAGTTCGTTTATGTTTTATGCACTGAATGCATTTGGTATAATGTTTTAAAATTATCTATTTGATTCCTTCAGTGAGTTGTTCTTTGTTTACGAGTTGTTTGATCATGTCGTCGTTTCTGTGACAAAGGGCGTCTATGCCAAAGTTGAACACAGTTCTCCTTTTTGCACTGAAATGCTACGCAAACTGATGGTTCATTATTCCCGCTGATTAGTTTAATTTGGTAAAGACTGTTAGTTTCATGACATTCTAGAATAATTTGATCCACATGACTATGCATCATTCTTATAATTCAGCTGAAAAATTCTAATACGGTTTATTGACCAGAACTAGTTGTTTAAGATAGCTTTTGCTTTACTCCTAAGAGCAATATCTTGCTGACATAGATTTTAACCTTTCCAAGCATATAAACTTAAACAATTTAAAATCATTCTTTAATGAAGACAGGACTAACTTGCTTGATAAATGAAGTCAATGTATACACTAAGGAAGATCTTTTTTCAAGAGTAAAACATATTTGAAAATAAAAAATCCATGAAAGAAGATCACATAATAAATTGTACACCTAATACCAGTTAACACAATTAATTTAACAATTTCATTTAAAAAAGATGAGATAATATGACCTATTGCATGGATTTTTGTGTTGAATGTATGTGTACTAGCATGTGCCTGAAAATTTTAAAAAGGCAATCACAAATCACCAAAATAGCATTTAATATGAAATTATATAAAACCTCAATACTGCACCTTGTATATTTTCTCTGCTTATGACATAAACTGAATTCACAGTATATTCACTTTAAAAAATGAAAATTAAAAGCAATCAAATAGTTCAAAATAACAACTCATGCAAATGAGTGCACGTGAGTAAATTGTAGACTGCCAGATGAAAAATAGCATTTGAAAAAAAAAAAAAAAAGGGGGGGGAGGGGAGGGAGGGGACATTAGGTCTAATTGAAAACTAATCTGCTGCTTTCAAAGTTTTATCAAACACTGCCAAGATGGTATAGTGGTTAGTGGAGCCTGGCTGCGATACCAAAGGGCCCGGATTCGAATCCAGAAGGCATGGATGTAAAAATTGTCTGTCCCTTCAAATGAGGCAAAGGTGACCCACCTATTAGGTGCCTCCATGATAAATAGACCCCGATATCTGGCCTTAGGAGTGGCCGAATGTCAGCATAGGCAAGTGCCCGCCATTGGAGGGGGGAGGGAAGTTTTATCAAACATTCCTGTAAGATTAAGGTCATGGATAAAACAATAATTACAGCACAAAAGTACATCTAAGCTGGAAATTTCACTGAATCAGCATTAGAATTCCATATTTATAAAAGTCAGATTTTGCCATAACTTTTAAAATGAATAAAGAACTTTACTGCTAATTTAGTGGAGGGAACTTACACAATTTTCCAAAATTCTGTTTTATAGAAAAAATGTTTGATGGCCTGGGAGCAAACTAGCAATGCATAGTATTTTGCAGGAATTTTTAAGGCATACTTTTATAGTATTTGGTGCAGCACTCTCAAAACTAATTTTATTCTCTCACTCACCAATGCATGAAATAAACATGTGTAAATGAAAGCTTTAAATCTTTAATCTGGATGAAATATATAGGGGGGAAAATGAGCATTATTAACTTTTCCTCAGGATGACTTTTTCATTCCATGCATGACAAAAAATTCAAGTACTTTGTTTATTTTGTCAGAACATTTTACAAATCTTAAAAAAATATACAAATTTTCAAGAACTTTTGATACCTTTCAAGAAGTATATGAACTCATAAGAATACAGAAAAGAAAAGATTTCATATAATTAATTCTGAAAAATGCTCATTAGAGGTGGAATAAATCCTAAATACTTTGGAATAATAATCCAAATCCTCAAATCATAAGAAAGAAAGAGATCCTTATATGATCATAAGAAAGAAAGAGATAAACAAGTTTTTATTTAATATTAAATTATACTTAAATAATAATTAAAGCAAAATTCAAAAGCTGAATTTGATGAAAAAGAAACTACTTCATATACAGACTTAAGGAGAGAAAAAAATGGAATAATGCATATTTGCAAGGAAAAACAGAATCGTAAGCAGCTAAACATCAGCATTTCAGGTACGGTGTTTCCTCATCAAAGCTTGTGAAGTCATATGGAGAATATGTACTATTTTACAAACACTGTGATAGTCCTGTACTTTGTACTTGGGCGAGCTGATGGTAAAGGATGAGCCACTGCTAATAGCCATGAAAATTCGAGTATCTTAAAAAATGTTCTGCAATCCATGCAATGTTGGTGTCAAACATGTATCACTACAAATGGTTGGAACTTGAATACTTCTTGTGAAACCTTATTATATGTCTACCAATTGCTGTACTGTTAAATTTCATGTAATAAAGTCCTTTACACTGCTTTCTGTACTATTTTCCTGCAGGATCTCACCTACTTTCTGTGAATGGTATGTGGGGACATACTTTTTGCAATGTGAAGATGATTCTTATGTTTTCTACCTTCTTCCAAAGCCTGTATGCTGAAACAATCTATATTTATTAAGCAGATATATAAAAGAAAACTATTTAATCTTGATGTTTATCTTCTAAATATAATTTAACAAAAATATATGAACACTACTGCATATTTTTTGCATTTCCCCACAATTGTTTTTAAAATCAAAATAAGAGGCAGAGGACCTTTTCAAAAATTAACTGCATAGATGATATACTGAAACAACATGGAACTCGGGCCGACACACAATGAAAATAGTAATCTACTCGGTACTGAAAAAGTTTAGTAATCATGTTCCTTTTTCCAATGAATATTGTTACAAAATGTCCAGGCGTGGTAAGACAGCTTCTCCACAAAGCAAGTTTAGGGTTGCAGGAAAATGGCAAGGGAAGGCAGGGTTGCCACACTTGGCAAGGAATCGTCCATTTGGTGACATTTGGCAACAAAATTTGCAATATGCCATAGACGGACGGAGAACCTTTTGGAATGAATTCTTACTGGTTTAGCCCAGAATGCTCTCGAACACCAGTCAAAAGCTATATAAACCATGCTGGTACGCAGAGAGTCAGTCAGTGTCTCGTCTAGCAAGTTAATCAGTCAGTGAGTGCCTAGTCGAGTTAGCTAAGACTCAGTGAGCGAGTGTCTCAAAGTCTAGTGCCGAGTTGGTCATGGAAAGCACCAAAAATGTCTCTTAGTGTATCACAAGTTAGTGCATCGTCAAGTTTTATCTTAGAATGTGTTGAGCTCTGAGAACGATTAACCAAGGAGTCGGAAGCTGTATTCTAGTGTATTGTCAAATGCATTGCGACTTGTAGCATGGAGAGTCTCGAGAGTACATGGACTTTCAAGAACGACCGAGGAGAGTCAGGAGCTGCACTCTGGTGCTTTGCCGAGAAGCTGTCTCCACCATTATAGCCTGATAGCCTGAAGTCTGTGTTGCTGACCGTTTCATTGAGTTTATACTAGTTCTTTGATGACTGTAAACGTGTTATTAGAGCTGTTTTGAATAATACTGGTCAATAAAGTGTGTTTTGTTATTTCATCAAGTGTCATTGTTATTCACTCTAAATCTACGAACCTTTATGAAGAGAAACGTCACAATACAGTCAAAAGTCTTTAATCCGGACTCGTCGGGACTTCGGCGATTCCGGATTATTGATTTTTCCGGATTATAGATCATCAGTTTAACCCCTTAACTGCCGCGGGCATATATATACGCCTTGCTCAGCCGATGCGTTAACTGCCCCCAAGATGCGCCCAGATGCGCAGCCGATGCGTTAACTTTGCGAATAATTTTAGGTGTAGCAGCGCAAAGCAAATGATAGCAGTTTGGAAGGACGTATATATACACCTGGGGCAGTTAACGCATCGGCTGAGCAAGGCGTATATATATGCCCGCGGCAGTTAAGGGGTTAAATCTGGTAAGATGGCATGCAGAAATTATAAAATTAAAAATATGAAACCATAATTTATAAAATAATGAGCAATTATGATCTAAAGGGTAACAAAATTTACAAAAAAAGAAGCTTAATATTTATTTGTTTACTTTATTAAACATTTCTTTCAACATACGCATGTGTACCTTACGCATAGCCGAAATTAGAAAATTGTAACCAGAAAACTATTTGATTTGTATTCGTGATATTTATAATGACGAGGAATTTGATTTAAATCATATCAAGTATATTACATCGTACATCGAGATTGTACATTGACATTGTACATCGAGATTAAATACTACATTTAGTACGGAATTATAAGCCGAATAAAATAAAAACATCTGCCCTGAAGATAACGATAGTGGTGACAGAGACAGATCAACTCTCAGTTCATCGCGCGCTGCGACGTCCCCCCCCCCGGTCAGAGTAGCGTGAAATTGATAGATTTCGGAACGGTTAGATAAACAAAGGATATACCTTTATCCATTTTTTGTAGCAATTCTTTTTTTTTTTTTTTTTTTGATGGACATGAATCATACTTTCATTTTCTAGATCCTTTGGGAGCTCCAGCATCGGAAATTCTATTTGACATAATCGAAAGTTCAAGCTTACTTTTATAAAATTGCTCTTACAGTCTGCAAAAAATAATAAGCCGGATCCAATTCGAAGATTAAGGAACAACGCAATCATCAACATTAACTGAAATAGATAATTAGATAATTTTAGCTTATACCGTCCATTATACATTAAAAGCGCACGCGAAAACGTATTCTGCGCTTGCGCAGATGCATATGCGCAGTAGTAAATGTCTTGTGGGCACGCGTAAAATGCCTATGAGCATGCGTCAACGTGGTGCATGCGCAGAAAGATTTTAGCTTTGAGGTCCGGATTATAGATCATTCCGGATTATGGATGTCCGAATTAACAACTTTTGACTGTATATCTTTTGGACATTAATAAAATTAATTTTTCCAAAGTTTTGATTAAAAACATTAAACAGTGTTTTTAGGTTAAAATTTGAAATGCAAAATATACACAAATACTTGAGATTTCAAGTTTTCTATCTATACTAATAACACGTAAAATTTCATTTACTTACCATTCATCAGCATCAGGTAGTTCAAGCAGGGGAGGTTGTAAACACCACATATGATAAGGAAGATCGCACTCATCACACATAATTTGCTTCTCGGGTGAATCTTTACCACCACATATATGGCAGCTGCAAATTTTACATTTCTTTGAGGGAATATCTTTACAGTGTGAGCATGCTGGCAGTTTTTTCCCTTTAAGAAAGTAACATTTATCAGGCTTTTGTTTTAACATATGAATCTAAAATCTTCATTAAATTTCATTTTCATTATCTATAATATTCCTCTGTTTATACAACTACCTCTAACTTGTGTTTTACTTGAATTTATATAATTAATAAGAACTTGAATAAAAATTTTTAATGAAAAAAAATTAAATTTTCTTAATAAATGCTAAAATATTTTTAAAAAATCAAATTTTACATCATATTTCTGGATAAATAAACTTTTATACAACATAAGCATAAGCAGAAATTTTTTTAAATTTATCTTCTATGAAAAATTAAACAATTTTTTTAATTCCTTAAATTTATATAATTAAGTTTTAAGTAAAACTATGTTTGAAATGCTTGAAGTTATGTGACTTTCAATGTGTTCTAATTACTCTATAAGGTATTTCTCTAGTGTGCCTTCGTGGTGAAGTGGTTCTGCAAGCTCGGCCGGTATTCCAGAAGTCTGTGGTTCGATTCCTGGCGAAGGCATTGTTAGTTTTTCATCTTTTCTGCCTTTTCCAATTAACCTAATGTCTCTACAACTCAATCTACTTCTAAACTTTGTATCACACAGAATTAAATAAAATATGACAGATTTATATGAATTATTACTTTTAAAATTCCCAATTTCCTATGGAAACAATAAAACTAAAGATAATTTTTGTTTGGATACGAAGGCACTGTTCAGTTATCTCTATAATACGTTTGTGGCACTTTCTTTTGTTATAAAATAAATATCCTGATCATCATTCATACACAATGTAGATATGTAGCATTCGCACAAAACAACAACGAAAGGAAAAAAGAGGGGAAAGAAACAAGTTAAAAGACAAATACAAAAATATAAAACACCTGTTTTGTTTTCAGTGCAAAACACAATCTAGCAATCATAAGTATACAGAAAAGGTTTTCCTCTTGCAAAAATTTTTGCCAGATTAACTCTGCTAATTTTTTTTTTTTTTTTTTTCCTTTTTATTTATTTATTTATTTTTTAAATTTTTTTATTTTTATTTATTTATTTATTTATTTATTTATTTATTTTATTTTTCTTGCAAGAACCCACAGAAAAATTAGTGTGCCAAAATAATATGCTCAACCTCAAACATCCAGATTTACAGGGGAAGAGTAGAAAAGAGATATAAATGCCAGTGTTGTTGAAGATCTCTTTTGTTGCTCAAAAGTGTGAATGAAGATAACCAAAAAGTACTGAAAGAATTTATCTGATACCACATTTATACTCAATAATAATGTACATAAATAATTCCTCTTGCTCTCAGAAAATGAAATATTGCAATTTAAATTATAAATTCAAACAGAAATAAGAAATATATCTCTGTTCTCAACTTGAAATAAAATGCTATTTTAATTCAGGTTGATTCAAAATGCATTTGCAAAATAATAATAAAGGTATAATGCATAGCAGAATTATAGAAAATCTGAATATAATCTAACTTATAACAAGCGTGTCGATCAGTGTAATTTACATTAGAAATATAATTTTGGCTGAAAATTAAATTTACCATATTGTTTGCTTAACATGCTGTCAAGATTGATGTGTTGATTTAACATGCTGTGAAGCATCTTTCAAACTCTCTATGGCTTAAATCAATCATATATTTGATAAAAAAATTATATTGCATTCAGCCTGAAGCACAAATTATGTTTTAGGAATCGAGACATGCTTAGATATTTATGCAATTTTACATTTTAAGACATTTATTTCAGTTTTGTTAGTAAAAATTTTAATTTTTTATTTAAATAAAAATGAAAGTTTTTTGTATCAATTTTTTTAAATCAAAAATAACTTTGCATTTATTGTTAATGCCATAGCAAATAAAGAAACTGATTAAAAAGTAGTGTATCGAAAACTTTATCACATTACTAGCTGCCAGCTTAAATCATTAATTTGCTAAACAAATTACTTTAGACACAGAAAGAAAATGATACCTAAGCCATAAATAGATTAATTTGTTGACTTAATGCTGATGAATTTATTAATATTAAAAAGTAAAATACAGCCTACTATAGGATAAATTTTAATCATCACTCATGATACACGATTTATGAGCAATGCAAAAGCTAACCACGTACAAACTGATTTGGCATAAATCAAGCAACATCTGCATTTTGAATTACTTACTTAAAGGTATGTCCTCTTTTTCAACTCTATTTTCTTCAACCATAACTGTATTCTTTTCAATAGCAAAAATTTCATCAGTTGCTCGAATTTTGCAGTCTTCTAGTTTAATTTGATCAGGGCTTTTAATGAAACAAAGGGATATCAGAATTAAAATATTCTCTTTTCTTTTACATGCAATGAATATGTCATAAAAAGCCATAATATTATAATTCTATGTAGATGCGGTAGAGTGAAATGGAGACATCATGATATCACAGGCAGGAGCTATCAGACTATGCTTAGTAGTCGTTCAGTTACTGTCTTGCTGTCGCTTGTGAAAAATATATTCCATATTATTATTTTTTATCATTTGCTTTTCAGTACAAAGCAGTTTACATGTTTGTCCCCGAAGAAAATGACACAAGACAGAGATAAGAGAAGCAAAATCACCAAAAAAAAAATCAAATGCTAAATCACTGAGAAGCAAGAACAAGGTGCGAGCACACCCAGTACACAATCAGTTTACATCAACAATTCATACTATCTTCAAAAACAAGGATAAGATTAAGGAGACTGATGTCATATATTCTTGGCAATGTTGAAAATTTGCTTCTCAGAAAAGCAAATGCAAGGCAACACTATTAACAAAAACATAGTTTGTAAGGTGAAACTGATATTTGCTGATCTCATTAAGATACCAGGATATCAACAGAAGAAAAGAAATATTTAACGCAAGCTGTGGGTAATTTGAAACGCTTGAGAGACGAACCAGCATTCACAGTATTGTATTGCATGGAGAAGTATCAAACTCGGTCATTAAGGCAACCAAAAACTTCATTGGCATATTCAGAAAGCCTGTGAACTCTGAAGGTTACCTGCTGCAGCAAGTTTCTAATTATGATGAGATGGGTCTCTTCTGGAAAAAAATGCCGAAGTGAACTTATATTAAAGCAGAGAAGAAGGCATTTCCAGGCCATAAGCCAATGAAAGACCGTCTCACCTGTTGTTTTGCAAATGCAAGTAGCGATTTGAAAATTAGACTGCTGCTTGTTTACAATCCAGGCACGCCTTGAGTCTTCAAGAAGTATAAAGTTCAGAAGATCAAGCTTAATGTCAAGTGGAGATCCAATAATAAGGCGCGGGTAACATGTGGCTTTCTAAATTGAATCAGTGTTTGGTCCGTCAGTAAAAAAATATCTGTTTGAGATGCATTTTCTACATCATGTTATAGACAACGCTCCTGCGCATCCTCCAGGTCTAGAAGGTGACCTCCTTGAAGCGTTTAAATTCATCAAGATCCAGTTCTTGCCTCTGAACACCATTCCTATACTGCAGCCCATGGGTAACTGGTCATTTCAAATTTTAAAAAGGCTCTACAATAAAGTCCCCTTCAAGCCTATATCCATGTTTGACAAACAATATTCAAAAACAAAAATATTAATGAAATTTTGCATCTTGAAAGAAATAATAACCATTTAAAATTTTTTTAAGTATTATTCATTAATAAAACAGAAAATCTAGTTTTGATACATTTATTTACATATAGAAAGGAGGGAACTAACTGTAAGCTAAAAAGCTGAAATGGAACAACTGAGATCAAGTACTAGAAATATAACCTTTTTTATTCAGATAGAAAATATCTAATCTGTATATAAGTATTAATACAATTAACACTGGTAGAAATTGGTAAATTTTCAAATGCAGTCCAATTCAGTTTTCAATGCAAATTCTCAATTAAAAAAAAGAAACCACATGCATAACAATTCTATAATTTTAACAAGTAACTTAAGTTTTTATATATGTTCTTTCTGTTGTGCTCATGAAACTTTCTGTCTTAATTTTGAAATGTGTTTGCTGTGGAACAAACTGTAGTAAAATTACTTCAAGAACACAGAATTTTGCCATAAAATCACTTTTGCCGCATGAAAGCAATAAATGTTTTGAGATTATTCTTAAAATATTTACCATGAAAATTCTATTAGAGCAAAGGAAACAAAAAAAATACTTATAAGTATGTCTATTGATTGATTTTTATTAATAAATACCTAATATATAAAATATGTATACAATAAGAATTTTTTGCGATTACGAGTCATTACTATTTTTCTTTTATAAAAAATTGCTAAACTGTGATAAAGTGATTCCACTAATATATATCACACAGTGAAGATTTAATTTGAGAAAAAGTGGTGATAATTATCAGACAGAACAAGCATTTCTCAGTCAACTCTTAATTAACAGAGGGTAGATTAAACATGCTAAAAGTTATCTGAGCCTCATTTTTAAAAAGAAAATGTTAAGTTTGTTCATAGCAGAATTATGATTTAAAATTATATCAAACCATCACAATAAAGCAAAATTTTTACAAGAAATACAAAAAAAGATGAAGAAAATGCACGGAATAACAGAAATGATAACAGTTGGGAATTGTTCTTACTCATTACAATGCACAATTTAAAAGTACATAAATTTACACTAATGTTTGTGAAAACTGTAACACCATGAAGGAACTGAATTATACAAACTGAACCAAACTTACAGGAAATGTAAAGTGAGGTAGGACATGCGAATGATTTAGAAATACAAAGCAATTGCGTATGCGTGGAACGAGAACCAGCCACTTTTTCCGTGTATATAAAGGACTGACTGAAGTGAACATTTAATTAGTGGACAATATATCTCATCAACAGCAGAGGGTGCTATAACAACAACCAATGGAGTTCGAATGAGGCCACATCGTCGATATGCGAGAGAGTGGATTTTCATATTGAGCAGTCACAGCTTGCACGCAATGTATTGCAACAACAGTGACGTGTTTGGAAGAAATGGAATGTTAAGAAGAAAAGGAGAACCAAACAATACGAAATTCTGGTAGTGGGTTATGTATTAGCCCAAAGGCAAAGGACGACAGATACATCATCTGCATGGCTGTGACAGATTATCCTCTCATAGCTGTGACAGATTATCCTCTCATAGCTGTGACAGCATCCCCTCGTGTGTTAGCACAAATGATGGATCGTGGCTACAAGGGTTCTATGCAGGATTTCCCTGTCGCTGAATCGCAGATGCCTCCGACTCCAGCCCAGCAAAACAGTGTGTGGCATGCCTTGTGGGAACAAATTGTTTTCTCTGATGAATATCACTACAATCTCAAGTACAGTGATGGAAGAGTTACACGTCAAACATTACAGAGGGGAGTGCCTGCTCCCACAGCGCGTTATCCAGTGTCACAAGGCACAAATACATGGTATCATGGTGTAGAGAACTATTCGGTATTATTGTCGATCCCATCTAGCACAGATTGCAAGCAACCTCAATAGTAATCTCCACATTTGAGAAGTTTTGAAGCCAGAGGTCCTCCCCATTCTTCGGCACATTCTGGACACAGTATTTCAGCAGGACACGTCCCATGCATGTTTCTCAGGTTTCTCATGTTCCAAGCCTTCTTTAGGACACAACAGGTTTTGCTTTTTCCATGGCCTGCTTGTTCCCCAGATATATTGCTCATTGATCACGTCTAGGATGTCTTTGATCGGCAACTCCCATGTACAGCTGGTGGTGCACAAACTAAGACCAAACTTTGGCTTCAAGTTCAAGCGTTAGGAAATGCCATTCCCCAGGATTCATTCAGAACCTGTATGATTCAATGCCATGACATGCTCTCACTGCTCAGCGTGGTGATTCAGCGTCTCCAGTCATCTACCATGAACTTGTGGCATTCATGCCAAAGTGAGCTGCAGCTGTTTTGCAGATCAAAGGTCAATACAATATGTTATTGAGTAGGTGGTTATAATGTTTTGGCTCCTCAGTGTACAGTCCAAATTAAACTGCTTAAAAATACAGAAATAATAGTACTGTTAATAGTATTTTTCTATTGATTATAATACAGATTAGTCCTCTTTTCATGTGTATATGTATTGTTTTTAAACTTTTTAGATGAACTGTGATTTTGGGTTAACCATGGACAGTGTCTCTGGTATCACTCCAGTTACTCGAGAATCTGTTGTACGTTTATAATCATGAAACAAATTTTATCATTAACAAATATGGCTGATTTTCATAAAATACTTATTTTTCAATTTTAGAAATATGATCTTCCCTTTGAGATTATTTTGCCCAAATAATATTTGATTTCTATGCTTGAACAAGGCTCACATTCTTTTAATTTCGAATAAATTATTTTATTATTAATCATTCGGCTAACAATTTTCAACTCAATGAATAAAAATTAAATCTACTCTAACTTAGCAGAGAATATTTGAAAAATTCACCAAAATTCTGCTTGAATAGCAACAACACTTCAGCTTAGAAGAATAATATAGCGCAACATATATTATTAGGTGCAATTTGCAGCAATCACAATGCTGCAGTGGTGAGAAATCATAAGTAGTCACTGCAGTAACACACACATATATATATATATAATGATACAAAATTATACAATTAATAATGTAAATTTCTTAAATGTAATCTTAAACTGTTTTTAAATAACCAAAGGAGGTCTCATGGAGTAGCCTCTATAAATACACACACAAAAATTATTTAATAGTATAGGTTTAATTAGAAAGACACAAAATATCATTTTTAATATATAAAACAAACAATTTTAGCATACCCCATGATTATAGTGCCAACAAGTTCTTTAATTGTTCTAGTACTTCTTTTACTGGTGACCATACAATCATACCAAAAACCAGTTTCTTTGGGTTCTTCAATATTGTAATTAACCATAAGCCAGTCTCCTACTTTTACATCATCAAATTTTACATATTTTCTGGCTCTTGGACGTATGAATGACAATGTCAGATCCACAGGATCTTCACAATCTTCATAACTGGAAGTCAAACTATGATTAATTTTTTGTAACTGAAAGTCAAATTTCAGAAATTGTTACAGATAAATACAGAAGAGTAATTTTAGGTGACAATAAAAATCCATAATGAGGGGAAATGAAATTTGTTTTTAAAAATATATAATAAAACATTAGGGAATGGTATAAAAAAAAGCATAACATATTTGGAAATAGTTATCATGATAGATTGCATATCTAAACAGGAGTCCATTTAGCTGTCCTATTTATCAACAGAAAAATACATAAGAGGCAAATTCTTCTACAGAGTAAAAGGTGAGGGCTGAAAATGCGTAGTATTTGACACAATTGAAACTGAAAAGAATGAGATATCTTTTACAAATGTTTTCACCATTAAATGCCACAACTGCTAAAGTAGCCAGGTAGATCAGGATATGCAAAACAATATTCAAGAAATTTATCAGTGGAACCTAAAGCGAATAAATATCAGACGAGGAATCTCTAATTTTATACATAATAAAAAAGCTTGGTCATAAATTAAGTTGCAACACTAATTTTTTTTTTTTTAATAAAAACTTTACCATACTAGCTAAAATTTATTCTACGGCTACATTATAAGCATAAAAAACATAATGAAAAAGTGCTTGTAATTGATGACAAGATTAACAAAATGTAAAATAGATGAAATCGAAGTCATAGACTGAACAGAGATTATTCAAATATTAAGTAAAAACTTCAAAGAAGAGAATAAACTATCATTGTGCATTGCACAGATCAAAAATCATCTAATAGTTCTCTCTGTTAGAAAGATAATATATATATATTTTTTAATTTGTAGTACTCCAAGGAATCGAAACCAGATATCTCATATCTCACATTCTAAATTTGACAAAGCAAAGAGAGAAGTTACCTAATTTATTCAGCAAAAGAAAAATTTTAATGTCTAGTGACTTATGAAAATAACATGTAGAAGTATAGAAATTAATTCCACTACAAACTCTCACACCAAATATGGCTTTCTAATTTCCAATGCTTTAAAATACTTTTAAAGCTCAAAAGAACATAAGAGAGAATACAGCACAGATGAATATGGACAACTTCGCATTTTTTAATATTTTTTTGTTTTTTTGCAAGTTTACTGATATTAACCAATTTCATTACTCACTTTCTCTCTGCAAAACATAAGTATATCATTTAATACAAAGAAAAAAAATACCTTTAATCTAATAACCAATAAAAAAAAAAACCTTTAATAAAATGCACATATTCTTCACATTTCTTCATGCACTTTCTATTTCAGCTATCCTAACTATTTTTGACTTGTAGCCTTGGCTACTAATGTTTAAAATTAATTTATGACTAGTAACAGCATGAATTATAAACAAATAGCTAAGTTATTGCATTTTATTTTCCAGCTATCGAAATGCGACGCTACGAGCAACGTTTTGAAACCAAAACCTAGCAATCATGAATCAGAACTAGAACTAGTTGCCACTCAGCATAAAGAAATTTAAATATAAATATGAACTACTTATTGCCATTCAGCATAAAAGAAATATAAATATGAATATTAACAAAATATTAAAGTTAATTTTTATTAAATAATTAAATATATGAACAAATATATGAAATAAAAAATAATTATTTCTCATGCAATAACTGGGCCACTACACTACAACTGGGCCACTACACTACTCCCCCACCAGTAACTAAGTTACGTTACGAAGATGGAGAAATAGGTAGTAACTAGTATTGCAGTGTTAACCACTATCAAAATAATTTAGTCAGTCCTTGAATCTAACAGGTAAACGTATAGTTCTGCCTGTGCGAGAATGTTTTTGATTCACATCCGAATTTGAGTCCGGTCTCTGCAAATTAGTGTAGTCAGGTTGTATCAACTGAGAATTTTCCTCAGCTAAAATATATGCTGGTTTCAAGCGATCCAGGGATACATTAACATGTTTTCCTTTTATGCTAATAGTAAAATATTTGTCCTTGCGATCAATAACAGGAAATGGTCCTTCATAAGGAGGTTCAAAGGGTTTTTTTACCCGATCTATTCGCTGAAACACATGAGAACAAGTTTTTAAGTCTTTATGGACAAATATCTGTTCAGATGAATTTTTACGAATTAGTCTCGGTCCAACAACTTCCATCTGTTTCTGGAGTTTATTAGCAAAAGTCTCCGATGCTGTCTGGATACTTGGTTCGCTGAAAAACTCTCCAGGAAGTCTGAGACTCTGGCCATAAACTACTTGCGCAATAGAATGATTGGTATCTTCTTGAATAGCAGTACGTTTACAAACCCAAAAGTACTGTTTGGTAACGTGTCCGTCCAAGATATGTTGTTGTGGGCTTTTAATGCTGTTTTTTTTAATGTTCGATGAAGGCGCTCAACTTTGCCATTACACGAGGGGTGGTAGGCAGTAGTGTGTTGTAAATTGATGCCACAGATTTTGGACAAAGCTCGTAATGTATCACTTTTAAATTGGGATCCACGATCACTAATGAGTTTACTTGGCGTTCCGAAACGCGCAATCCAGTTGCGATAAAAGACTCTTGTGACGTTCTCAGCAGAAATATTTTCTAAAGGAATTGCTTCCATCCAATTCGAAAAATCTATCTATGCAAGTAAGACAATAAATATTCCCTTTAGATGGTGGAAGTGGTCCTATGAGATCGATATGGATGACAGAAAATCTTCCTGGTGATACTTCAAACTCACCTAATTTTGTTTTGGTGTGCCGACTGATTTTAGCTTTTTGGCAATGAAATGCAGGTTCTTGTCCACAACTGTACATTTTTTTATGTTAGGCCAAATGAATTTTGATGTCATTAATTTCATAGTCGATTTTATTCCTGGATGTGATAAACCATGAATTCGTTGAAAGACGTGTTTTCTGAAAGCCTGAGGAATATACGGCCGAACATGTTTAGTTGATGTATACATCACACCACAAATATTTCCCCGAATGGTAGAGAACATTGCTTGAAATTCAAGGAAGTAGTGGTTTGCAAACTCTTCAGTTCTTCATCTTGAGTTTGTTCATCAGCTATTTTATCATAATCTCTATCGATGAAATTTCATTAACTCTAGATAATGTATCCGCCACAATATTATTCTCACCTTTTAAATATTTGATATCAGTCGAAAACTGGAGAGATGTATTGAAGTTGGCGAGCCTGTCTAGGTGTTGCTTTGTCAAGTTTTTCGACGAAAGGCGAATATTAAGGGCTTGTGATCTGTATAAATTGTAAATACTCTTCCTTCTAGATAATGCTTAAAGTGTCTAACTGAAAGATATATGCTTAATAGTTCTCTATCATAGGTGCTATATTTTTGCTGAGTATCACTTAATTTTTTAGAAAAAAATGCTATTGGCTTCCACGAGGAGTTTTCATATTGTTGCAACACTGAGCCAATCGCCGTATCTGAAGCATCTGTAAATAACGCCAGAGGTAGTTCAGAATTGGAAAAGACAACAGTGCCGTGTTCACCAGGTCATTCTTGCACGTTTCAAACTGTTTTTGTTTTTCAGCTTCTTCAGTCCATTCGATTTTACGTTTGTCCCTCTTTTTAGCTCCCTTGAGATACGCATGTAACAATGCTTGATTCTTCGCTGCATCCTTTATATAACGACGATAAAAGTTAAGTATTCCAAGAAAAGTTCTAAGTTCATGAATTGTTTCTGGTCGTTTGTAGTTAGTAATAGCTTGAACTCTTTCTGGCAAAGGACGGGAACCCTTAGGTGTAATTAGGTAGCCTAGAAACTCGATTTGGGGAACAGCAAAGACAGATTTTGAAACATTAATTCTTAACCCAAATGTATGTAATCTTTCGAAAACTAATTTAAGGTGATTTTCGTGTTCTTCATGGGTACTGGATGCAATGAGTATATCGTCTAAATAGGGAAAAACGAATTCTAATCCTCTAAAGACTTCGTGAATAAATCTTTGGAACGTTGCAGGAGCATTTTTTAAACCGAAACTCATTACATTAAATTCGTATAAACCGAAAGGAGTGATGATAGCCGTTTTACATTTGTCTTCTTCTGCAATGGGAATTTGAAAATAAGCTTTGAATAAATCAATTTTAGAAAAAATATTTGTACCTCTTAAAATATGATGAAAATCTTCAATGCGAGGAATTGGGTATCGATCAGGTATCGTCTGCGCATTCAATCGTCGGTAGTCTCCGCAAGGACGATATGAACCATCCTTTTTCGTAACAAGGTGCAAGGGGCTTGACCACTGGGAGTTTGATGGACGAATTATTCCATTGTCAAGCATAAATTTAAATTCCTCTTTAGCTATAGCTAAGCGTTTTGGATCGAGCTGTCGTGCCTTAACGGATTAATAAACGGGTTGACCATCAGTCGTAATAAAATGTGTAACACCATGTTTAATTTGTGTAGGAAAAAGGTTAGGTTTAGAAATTTCGGGATATTTCGACAGTAAATCGAAAATTTTTATGGATTTATTTAATGTGGTTACTGAGTAATCACTGGAAATAGCAGCGACATCACACTGGACACAAAGCTGTGTTACGCCATCAATTAATTTTTTCTTATTTATATCGACAAGCAATTTATATTTGTGAAGAAAGTCAGCTCCTAAAATACCTTTTGTGACATCAGCAATTATGAATGGAAACTGAAAATCACGACGTAATCCCAAATCAAGAGTTAGCGTTTTTATGCCATAAGTGGAAATATCTGTGCCATTAGCTGCATACAGTTTATATTCAGTTTTACATTTATTCTGTGAAGTAGCAGGAATTATGCTTACGTCAGCTCCGCTATCAATAAGAAAGTGCAAATTTGATCTTTGGTCACGAACGAATAAACGAAATTTGCGACAATCCTTCATATTTTCTGCAGCAGCGTTTGCCGCTGAACCTACTGCAGATTCGAGTTTTCCTGGTTTTTGAAATCGTTTTTTTACCCAAGCACACGGAGGCTTGCATTTCTCTGAATGCATTTTTGCTCCAAAACGAAAGTGATAAAAACAAAATTTGCCAGTAGGGTCATATCGTTTACGAGATCGGCTTCGAGATCGTGAACGTGAATTACGTAAATCCGAGTCCCTGCGTCTTGAGCGAATGGTTGATTTGATCAATTTTTTGTTCAAGAAAGGTAATTCTTTGCAACAAATCATTTGCGGGAACGGAAGGAGCATTAGCACTAAATACTTCTGGTTTCCGATTCATATCACTAATTTTATCTGCCATAGACGCTAACTTGGTTACATCTTCATCACTAACTAATAATATATTTTTTATGGAGTCAGGTAGCTTCTCCAGCCATAAAGTTTTGATTAGATTTTCAGACACACCTGTAGTAGCAACTGATCTCAACTTCTGAAAAGTTGGCTTGGCTTCATGTCTCCAAGTTCGATACCAGTAATCAAACGTTTAATCCGTACATTTTCACTTTCTTTGAATAAATGTAATAACCTAATTTTAGCATCCGAATATTTTGTGGCACTATCGTTCGTTACAATGTCCCAAATATTTTCGACGAACTTAGGTTCAAGCTGTGAAACTAAATAATTAAATTTCGTTTCTTCTGAAACGATATTACTAATTTTGAACTGAGCTTCAACTTGAAAAAACCATATTTCCGGTTTATCAGTCCAAAAAGGAGGTATTTTTACACTCACCTTATGAAGCTCCGGTGACTGCATCTTATCTTTCATAGCAGTTTCAGAAGAGTCATTTGTTGACATTTCGAAAATTAATCAGGGTCACCACGATGTAGCCTTGGCTACTAATGTTTAAAATTAATTTATGACTAGTAACAGCGATAATTATAAACAAATAGCTAAGTTATTGCATTTTATTTTCCAGCTATCGAAATGTGACGCTACGAGCAACGTTTTGAAACCAAAACCTAGCAATCATGAATCAGAACTAGAACTAGCTGCCATTCAGCATAAAGAAATTTAAATATAAATATGAACTACTTATTGCCATTCAGCATAAAAGAAATATAAATATGAATATTAACAAAATATTAAAGTTAATTTATAAAATAATTAAATATATGAACAAATATATGAAATAAAAAATAATTATTTCTCATGCAATAACTGGGCCACTACAGACTCATGAAGCCCTCTTTAGAATGAATTTTTATGGTTAAGCCCCTACCTCATGTCTTACAAGTTAATAAGTTTATGAAACTAATTGGACTCATTGAAATCATTATTTTTCTTTTTTTATAGTAACTATGTTGGTGCAGGCAGCTACTTCTTAAAGAACTAATGTACTGCATATAAAAAATGGTAACACTTTATCGGTAATTCTAAATATATGCTGTTTTTAAACATTTGGAGATTTTGTTGTTGAATTTTATGCAGCAAAAGTGCAAAAAAATGTGATATTTAATAAACAAGGTGAAAAAGACAAAAAATTAGCAATAAAAAGCCAAAAAACAAAGATGTCTGAGTCATTTTACTAAGAAAACTAAACATCAGGATGATGAACTGAGACACTTAAGAAAAAATAAAAAAATGTATGCCAACAATTAACACTATATTGGAAAATCCAAACATATGCTGCTTATGGAAACTGTGTGATTCTGAGTTGAATTTTATGTGGCACAAGTGCAACACAAGTGATTCTTAATAATAAAGCTGAAAAGACAAAAAAAAAAAAAAAATTGTTAGCAAGAGCAAGTCCAAGAGCAAACTGGTCGACTGCAAGCTCAGCAAGGGCACAGAAAAAAAAATTAACAAATGTTCTAGTTCAATGTTAAAATCTGAATCCTTTCTTTCTTTTGATTTATTTTATTTGGTTTCTGTTTGGGAGAATGTATGTAGTTTTATGTGCTTGTAATGAAATTTGTTTCTTAATTTTTAGACTGGTTTTAAAACTGAATATCAGTTCATATCAATGACTAAAATGAGAAAATAGCATAATTATTTAAAAAGAAAAGAAAGCAAAATTTAAATAAAAAATATGTGACAAAAATTAATCTACATTAGTCTAAAAACAATCTGTTTTAGAAACTTTCTGCTATTACCATCTTCCATCTCAACTACATTACAAATTTCGTATGAACTTGCACAATTTGCCTTCCTTTCTACAATACAGTCAAAAGTCGTTAATTCGGACACCCATAATCCGGAATGATCTATAATCCGGACCTCAAAGCTAAAAACTTTCTGCGCATGCGCCGCGTTGGCACATGCGCACAGGCGTTTTACGCGTGCGCGTAAGACCTTGACGACTGCGCATATGCGTGTGTGCGAAAGTGCAGAATACGTTTTCGCGTGCCGTTTATGTATAACGGACGGTGTAAGCTAAAATTATCTAATTATCTATTTCACTTAATGTTAATGATTGCGTTGTTCCTTAAACTTCGAATTGGATCCCGCTTATTATTTTTTGCAGACTGTAAGAGCAATTTTATAAAAGTAAACTTGAACTTTCGATTATGTCAAATAGAATTTCCGATTCTGGAGACTTCCAAAGGATCTACAAACGAAAGTATGTTTCGATGTCCATCACAACAAAAAAGTGGAATTGCTGCAAAAAATGGATAAAGACATGAAGAAGTGACAGAGAGGTTAGTGAAAACGAAAAAATTTCGATTGACAAGTTAGTCGGTATTCTCGGCACAGCAATTAACGGGACTTGAACAGCGGAACTTTGTAACTGAACAAGAAATTATGTCTGTTTATAGAATTAAAGAGAAAGTATTATCACATAAAACAAAGCAACTTAAACAACTTACATTGAAAGAAATTTTAATAAAGTAAAACAAATAAATATTAAGCTTTTCTTTTTGTAAATTTTGATACCCTTTAGATCATAATTGTTCTTTATTCATAAATTACGGTTTCATATTTTTTTAATTTTAGAATTTCTGCATGCCATCTTACGAGATTTAAAACTGATGATCTATAATCCGGAAAAATCGATAATCCGGAATCGCCGAAGTCCCGACGAGTCCGATTAACGACTTTTGACTGTACAAGATTTTACTGCATTGCAAATGCATCAGTGAAGTGAGATTTTTGACATGGACATTCTCAGCAGGTAATATTTTTCATAATGAAAAACTGGCTAGAAAAATTGGTTTTTTCTATTTAAATTAATATTATATGTTTATATTTTATTATATAATATACAGCTACGTATCTATAATTTTATTATATGGAATTCTGCGGAAAATTTATTTAATTATGCTGCATTTTCTTGCAAAAATAATAAAACATCTATTTTCAAATAATTTGAAGTGTTATTAACAAATTTATCCCTTTTAATTAATAATACACCCCTTAATGCTATTACCCGTATTTGGACAGCATAAAAGACGCACTTTTTTCCTAAATTTGGTCTCAAAAAAGTTACCTGTGTCCTTACGTGAAGGACACAGTCTTATATGTGAAGGTAATTGCATTCAATAATTGTTTATTTGGCTTTTATGAAACGTGAGAACTAAAAGAAACCACGCTATTGAAACCTTTTTTCCTTGTGTGTGGCCATCTAAATAAGGGTGCGTCTTATATGCCAGTGTGTCTTATATGCCGTCAAATATGGTAATTATTTAATCAAAAACTATTATTTACCTAATAATTAAAATGTGCACTTACTCTTCATATACAACACGATAAATTAGATCATCCACTTCTGCTTTGCTTTCCTGAGCAGCATCTTGATCATCTGTAACAATCTGATTATTCTTTTGAACAGACTGAAGTATCTGTTTCTCACTCATTGTAACTGATTTAATAGCAACAATTTTTGCTTCAAACCATGCACCGTAAGTAAGATCCTTAGCATCAACAAGATCTCCAACCTTAAATTAATCCAACATGAGGTTTAACATGAGTGAATTTAGTGAATAAAAGCATATATAACAGAGAATATACCTAAATAGTAAATATCACTGATAAAGAATAAATTTTTACAAAAAAAGTAATAAATGTGTACAAAAAATAAATAGAGATAAATAAATAAATAAAAATAAAATATATAATAAATCACAATCAGATAGGAATTTTCTTATATGAAAACGTAAATGTATATATAAGATGTCACATGTACAAAAAACTCATGCAGCAAAACACATTCAACAGATATTTTCCTACACAAAAATGTAAATCAATAATACAAATGTGTTATCTGAAAATTAATGAAAATAAGTGAAATAAAAAAATAAAGAAACTTAAATTTGAATTTAAAATTAGGTTAAAGAAAAGTCCTTTTTGGTTAACAAGATGCCAAATGGCATGAAATATAACAAGAGGTCAGGCAAGACACAAGTATAAAATATATAAACTTTATTTAACACACCAATAATGACATTTCGATGAGAAGGGAAATTCCCGCTTAATGCACACCGCTCTCTACTCACCATCTGCTGCTCATCCGAGACGGGTATGCGCGGAACTCACAAAACTTCGCACGGTGTTTCCATGGCAACACCACACACTCTTACAAATAAATAAATAAATAAAAATAAAAATAAATCTGATGTGTACACCATGATTTCCTTGCAGGGAATATTAAATTATAAATATTTTTTCCTGCATTTCATTTAAACTTATTTCCTCGAATTTCATTAGAGATATATTTCTCATTCAATTAATTCAGTTCTCATTTTGCGACAAGGCGAAAATACGTAAAACCTCAAAATATCTTCATTAAAAATTGAAAAAATATAGAAAAGTATAAAACACCAAATATGGTTAAAACAATTTTTACAACTAAAATTAGTGTATCTGAGCAAAAACAAGCAATTCGGCCAGCGGACATGAAGGCAGATTTTTTGGTGCACAAAACTAAAAGTTTCCTTTCGGTCGCACATGCAAAAAGACACTGAAGGAGCAGAAAGACTTAATATACTATTCTGCTAAGTTTCAAATGTAAACAAATATAGCTGCTCCGGTAAGAAAAATTAGGCTCATCCGTACTGAAACAACTTTTAAATTATTAATAATTATACAACTATAGCATGCAGATTAATTAAAGAAATAAAAATCTTAAATGAAAGATAACAACAACATAATTCAGTTATTTTTAAAGCAGAAAATGCCCAATTTACTGATATATAATAAAAAAAAAATGAGTTCACTAAGCAGAGTAATGGAGTGGATACATATACATATATTTATACACTTCCGATTGCAACCAAAAAGAGAGGTGCATAACCACATGTTATAGTAGTGCTATATACAAAATTTCAATGCTCTGAGGCTACTCATTTTTCAGTTATGCAAGATACAGATATATGCACTTATGTACAGATGCCATGAAAAAAACTACTGAATGCATTTTAAATCAGTTTTATAATTCGTTTGGGAAAAAAGCATCTTTTATTCTGTCCTTACGTACAGATGCCACGCAAATTGCATTCGAAAACGGTCAAATGAATATTTTTATTGAAATATGATACCTGGAATTTTTCGTGATTACAGTACATCCTTTACTTCATACAAGGAAGTAAAAAAGGCTACTGAAAGTGTAAACGGGAAAACTAATGGATCACTGTTCTTTCTTCTCGCTTATTCATAATGATGCTATTTATTTCATAGCTACATCTAAAGTGAAATAAACACATTACCATACTTGGTGCTTTAGAACACAGTTATGAATAGAATATCAGTAATTAAAAAGTAAAAATTTATAAAAAAAAAAAAAAGTTTAGATTAATGTAGATTTTGAATAAGCCTCTATCAATTTTTTATAATAATAAACTGACACAAATCCTTCTTTATTGAAAGCAACAATTTTTACTTTTGAAGATGTAAAGCTGAAATTTTTGAGTTATTGCAGTTTTACGAGTGGGGGGGGAAAAAAAAACTGAAACAAAATGACCTTATAAAACATATTCTTTCAAATAAGGGTGAAATACATTCCTAAATTAAGTACTTAACTCAGCTGAAAATACTAAACACTCAGCTCAGAAAATACTAAACACTAAGTTCAAAACTTTCAGACAGTTTTAAAAAAGTGAAAGGACAAAATGGGAATAAATGTAAGACTCAAATGTGGAATATAATTTGGGACAAAACAATATAACAGGAATAACATAATAAAAATAGCAGACAGTATACATTCTAAGAATTGAAAAATCATTATTTATGCATATTCAAAACTCCTCTTTGCTGTGTATATGCTATGTATTTTGAAAAGAATAAAGATGTTATATTTTATAAGACTCCTTATAAAACTCCTTATAACTTTTATAAGCCAGAAATTATACATTTTATAAGCCAGAAAAGACTCTGAAAGAAGTGAGAAGTTTGTGATGTAAAACATGCATAACTGCAGCCAAAATATATGCGCAAAAGCTCCAAATCTAGCAAACACGCCCATTTAACAGCGCACCAAATTTAGCCCACGTGCTGATTTCAAATTGCATAAGTTTAAGTTTAGATAGTTCTATATTTCTTAAGACGCCATTGAAATACTAGTTTTATTTTTAAACCCTTTTTTGATATCCTACGGATTTAACAATTTGGGATTACCAACGATGAAATGTCTGAAATAGAATTTTTTCAAAGAAAAGGCATAATTCATTATAGAAAATTATGTTTGAACAACTGAAATGAAATTATGCTTTAGCGATAACTCTGTAGTGAAATAGCGATGCAGGAATCCATCCATTTATGTTTAGCCTTTTTTTATATATAAATTATAATAATGATCTGAAATAGTTATTGACTCTTATGCTTCTATTCAGTTATGTTTAGCCTTTTTTACATAAATTATAATAATGAAAAAGTATTATATGAAATTAACCTTTCATCTAAATTAAAACAATCTTAGATAGTTATATACAATTATACTTCCTTTCTTGCGTTACAGTTACCGTAATTATTTTTGGCAGCACTGGCAACAACAATCAATAGTTTTTTCGATTTTTTACGGTCCTCAAAACGGAATAGTACCAAATATTATTTTCATGTCACTAGATGAGAAGCATTATTAAACCGCACTGGGTCCATCAGACCCACATGATTAAAGAAACCTTTCTCAAAGCACACCTATTTCACATAAATTGTTAAAATCGAGTGTAGTCATGTCTGAGGTCGACCTCTTTATATTTCTGAATTTTCTTTACTGGGGCTTTGATTTGGAGTCTTGATTTTGATCTGAACGGGCCTTTTAGACACAGGGCGCCTATTTGTATTTATTATAGTTGATTTGTGATAGTATAGAAAGCAGCAAACATGCCACATAATTTTTCTTACAAGGAAGAAATGTTGCAAAGGTTTTTAGATGCATCAACTGGCATAGAATATATTGAAGAAAATGAGGATGGAAGTGATCATGAATGTTTAGTTCATGTAATAATGATTCTCAGAAACTTATAGAGATTCTGAAAACGAAAGTGAGAATGACATAAATTGCTTACTGAAAAAAAATTATCGGGAACAATAAAAAAATGAAGATTTTACCCAGCGAAAAAGCACACAAAAACGAAAATGCACTGCACAGAATGTAAAAAAATATCTGTATGTGGAACACACAACACTTCGTACAAAGTACTGCTAACATTTGTTGTTGCATTTTTGCTTGGTGTCTAGAGTGCTTATAATGAAAATAAAGAATCAATAGCGTAAACAACAGAGCTAATAAAGAAAATAAAGAATCGACACAGAGATACAGTATTTTTTCCCTATGCTAATATACAGTACAATTTTCTATTCCTTTAAGAAATTTTATTTCATAAAAGCATTTGCAGGAAAAAAATAATAATGTGCATATTTTTTTAAGTTTGATCCTGAAATTTACTATTGGCACAGACGTAACACTTTTTCTGAAGATTTACAATTTTTTTCTTCAAAAATCCCAATTTGCGCGCACTCGTGCAACTCATATGAGCACTCACGGGTTAACACCTGAAAAGCAGTATCACACACTAAAACTGCACCTAGTCAACATAACATACTTGCAAACCTATGACACTCAAAAATCACGAGATTTTTCACAATGTTAAAAAGACTTTTTAAATGATAAAAATATAGTTTTTAATAATGAATTAACTTTAAATAGTTACTAATTCTTAAATGCAAGCAACACAAAAATACCTGACACATAAAAGAAAGAAAGAAACTTCATAATTTTGTTCATAGCAATTGCCACGTAGGCCTGCTTTTGCTAATAAAAGTTTTTCTAATGTGTCATCACCAATATTAGATCTAAATTTAGTCCTCGTTTTCGCAACAACACTGAAAATCCTCTCACACTCTGCATTACTATTGGGAACTGTCAAGATGGCCAACATAATTCTAGACAGTTCACTATATTTTAAAATTCCATCAGCACCTTTCAGTTTTCAAATTAAACTCCAATGGGTGTCAATCCTAGCTGATTTTATAACTTCATCCAAGTTTTCTAATTGTAAACTGCAAAATTGCGACTGCAATATATCAGTGGCAATATCAAAATCATCATCTTTCATGACTAAATGAAGTAACACAGGAAATCTGTTCAAAAAGTACCTTATATCAGAAAAAAATGCATTTGCTAAAACAGAAACATCAGCAAGAAATATCCAGACCTGAAAGCATGCAACAGCTTTATAATTATTTAGAATATTAATTACACTTGATAAACATACCAGATTTTTAAAAATCAATCTCAGTTTCAATAATAAAGAAATCTAAAAATTCTAATTTGTGAACTGAGGTGCTATCACCAGCTTTTTCTTGAAAATTATACGCGCTGCAATAGACAACTATTGTTAAGTTTCTGCAAGTCGTCCTTACTCCTCCGGATGTGGTTGATTCAAGATTTCAAGTTGTGATTTCCGGTAAGCAATTGCCGTGGGCGGCATCCTGTTTTCATGAAGGCGGCATCTTCAATACAAGTGTTTTTCCAGGATTAGCGGCAATGTTTTTCCAAGCTGTGATTTCTTGTGTGTAACTACAGTGAGCAGCTTTTGCCAGCTCAAGTGCACTCAAGGTTTAGTTTAATTTTTCAGGTGCCTTCTTAACCAAAAAGCATGGACTTATTTATAATGAAGTGAAATTCATATTAATCGCGTAGTTTTTGTTCTGTGATATGTTTTTCGCGTATTGAATGCCAGTATTCAAAGACCAGGCAAAATATTTACTGTATCATTAATAGTGTAATATTCTTTAAAGGAAAAACCCTTGGGGTTTAAAGTCAACTAAGCGTAATCTGACAATGATAATGTTACACTCTTTAAGTTTCTGATATTGATTAAATTTATTTATTGTATTTTTATTTTTATATATATTGTTAATAAATTGGTTAAGTTTAAAACTTTTGTCTTCAATGTCTGCACAGTATATAACCTTAGGGAGCTTCTATTGCTATTTCTGCTAAATGTTTTTATAACTTTAAACTTTGCTTTTGCATCATTAATCAACACCATATGATCAGCAGAAGATGGCCGACAAAATAGTAATAGTGTAGAGAAGGAAGTTTCTACTCCTAGCGTTCGAAGCAGAGGTTCCAATAAAATTGAGGGGTCTAAAAATGTCAGAAATCAATTAAAGCTTTTTCACAAAGAGCAAAAATGAAACAGATCATAGAAAATTTAAATTTAGGCCAGAAAATTCTTGGACTGGTTTTTATTTTTCTTGCTCAATCAATAGGATGTCATAGTACAGCTATTCATGATATGATATAAAAAGGTTAACAAATCTGGCACTGGCGATTCGTTAACAGAAAATTACCGAAAAAACAATTATTTGTTTAAAACATATTTCATAATGTAAAAGTTTAAGCCAGCTTTAAAAAAATCTGATAGCAAAGTCTGCCTTTAATCATTTCAATTCAATAATTTATTCAAAAATTACGCAAGGACTTGATAGGCAAACTGTCAAAATATTTTTATGTTTTGTTTCATGAAAGAAAACCTTTGATACATTTTTAATTTGATTTTTACACACAGAAAATGAAACTGTAAGATAAATTAAATAACAGAATGTGTTTTTAAATCTCTCCGATTCCCGCAACAGTCAATTTTGAATTAACACTAAATCAAATATTTTAGATTAATCAGTTCTAAAATATTTTAACTTAATACATACAGAATCAGTTAAAAATTTTGAATAAGTAAAAATGATGTTATCTTAATGTTAGAAAGATAACTATGATAAATCATGGTTTTTATGTCTAAAATTAAATAAAGCTTCAGATGTACAGAAGTATATTCATAAATTAATTTAGAAAACTTTGGACAATTAAAAAATTTTATATAACTTTAGACGTGTATAATAAATCATTTAAAATTATATTCTATATAAAAGAACTTACTTTAAAATATTTGCTTGTGCAGTTACTAGAATCACAAACAGGTGAAGATTTGCCTATTTCCAAAGGCTAAATAACGACATACAAATAATAAATATTTTAAAAATGAAAAAGACAACAAAAAATTTCATGTTTAGAAATTAAAAATACAATTTTTTTTAGAGTACTCATGGCAAAACAATACAACTACAATAGTTTTAGACAGACTTGACTTCAAATAGCCTCACTTCAGTAATTTCCACTTGTTAAAGAATACAGCAAGACACGCAAATTTAAAGAAAGCCAGGAGGAAATAGTATATGTGTCTTATTCACTGCCAGAAACTCTGCCTGATGTCAAAATAACTTTAATGAAGATTTGGGTACTGATGGTTTCTAGAGACTGGTTTTAGTAATGCAATTACTTGTTGATTCCATTTCAGTAAAGCAAACTTTTCTAAGGTGACTATTTCAGTTTATGAAAGTTTTATTGACCATATCCAGTTCTGACTTATATTAACTTCTTGATGACATTAACTGAAGATAAATCATACTATTATAAATGCCATCCTACTTCTTTCAAATGCTCATTTTACACTTACAGATATACATTATAATAAAATGCAGACAGATGTTAACATCTGTCTGCATTTTATTACAATGTGCTTTTTAGTAATCTATAAATTCATTGCCTAAGAATTAGAAAATGTGCAACATTTTGGCAATATTCAAAGATTCTAATGAAAGTTGAAACCTTCAATTCCTGTTTGGTAAATTCCAGTCCCATGAAAAAAAAATAACAAGTGTAAACTACCTTGAAGGATAAAACATATAGAAGTTAACAAAGCAATATACATCATATGCCTAAAAGAAGATACTAAATGTTAAGGGCACTGTAGCAACAGGAAGTCAGTCATTTACTGGCAATTTATTGCCTTATCTCAGTGCAAAAAAGTATTCTTATAGCATAAAATAACACACAAGTGTAAAGGAAACTGAATCTAGCAGACTGATAATGGTCTCATGCATTAACAAACACAGCTCACAAAAACATTATCAAAGTGCTTTTGTCCAGATTTAAATTTTTGATTCAGACAGAAAGCTTTTCTTTACAAACATTCAGTTACAACAGAAACACTGATTCTTCTAAAATGGAAAAATAACAAATACAAGTTTTGTAATTTAGCTAATAAATAAAATTAACAAATCAAAAAAATAAACACAAAATTTTATTTGATTAACTGGTACAACACAAAATCTGAAATTCATATGTCCAATATTCAGAACGGTCTAATATCTGGACACCAAGCAATTTTTTTTACATAAAATTTAGGAATGGAAACTACGATACTCCCGAAAAGGCAAGTATGCTATAAAAGAGATTACTTTCCTCTGGACTAATTGAGAAGCCCATATGTCACCTTCAAATGCCTGCTGGCTAGGGAATGACACCATGGGCCAATGAAAACATTAATGCCCTGTGACCATGACAACACTTTCAGCCTTTGAGTGGTTATGGAGGTGAGAGGGGCTTAATATTTTTTCACCTGACCTAAGCAATAAGTTAAGCTCCAAAATATATTTGGAGTGGGAAGCTGCTAATACTGGGTTCTTTTGTTGGCACAGCAGCAAAACAGAGAAAAAGAATTAGATTCAGAAGAAATTCAGTTAATCTAGCAAACTGTGCTCTTCCTTAACTAATTTGATCCAGCTTATTCTTCTTTGTAGGCTATTATTATTGCAACTATATAATATAAAAATTAAAGTTTTAATTTTTGATTGTGTTAAAAAAAGACTTCCTAGTTCTGAAGATGTAGCAGGGTTTGCAAAGTGAAAGCATATTTGGTGTTTGCCTTCTCCAATGTCCTTAGTGCGAGAATATGGCGTTGACAAAATTCAGGCTAGCGATTTCAAAAGTATGCAAAATAGCAACTTTATTTTGCTGCAGAAGCTTGAAATTTTCCAATTAATGGAATTGTGAAGAAGTGATAATAAATGAAGATGATATAGCAGATGGTTTATCATGACAATGCTCCAATCAGCAATAAATTAACAGATGGCTAAATCCATAGTTTGGTTTCAAATCCAGAAAAGTGACAAAGATTTTTGTGAACAAAAAAACTTCAATTGATAGTTTAGTGGAAAGTTCTGGAAAAAAAGACTTGAACGATGAAACTTCAAGTTGAACGAGAAATTTTTTCTTCTTGATTTTTCAACTGATTCATAGCTTATTTCATTATTATTATTATTATTATTATTATTATTATTTTTTTTTTTTTTTTTTTTTTTTTTTTTTTTTTTTTTTGGATACATACTTGCGAACCTACATCAAAAATTAGAAGACTTTTTTCAGAAATCAAGAGAATTTTCTCAATGAAAAAGATTTTTTTTAAATGACAAAAATATATTTTTAATAAAGAATTACCTTTAAATAGTTACTAATTAATATTTGAAAATTAAGTTATTAATTTTTAATTCAAACAGTAGAAAAAAAAAATTATCTTTTACACTCTTGAATAGAAAAATAATACTTTAATCAATTTTTGTGCAAATGATTATGAACAGTGGCATTTAAAAAACTCCATAATTTTGTTCGTAACAATTGGCATGTAGGCCTGCTTTTGCTAATAAAAGTTTTTCTAATGTGTCATTACTAATATTAGATCTAAATTCAGTCCCTGTGACACTGAAAATCTTATCGCACTCTGCATTACTGTAGGGAAATGTCAGGATAGCCAACATTATTCTGTACAGTTTACTATACTTTAAAATTCCACCAGCACTTTCAAGTTTTCCAATTAAACTCCACTGGGTGCCAATTGTAGCTGATTTTATAACCAAAGTTTTCTAATTGTAAACTGCAAAACTGTGACTACAGTTTATCAGCTGCAACATCAATGTAGTCTTTTATACCTAAATGAAGCAAAAATTGGAAATCTATTCAAAATATACTTTATATTAGAAAAGATGCATTTGCTACAGCAGAAACATCTGAAACTTATGCATGTAAAATTACTTCACCTTTGATTGGAAATTTATGTAGTATGTAATCACATACTTGGCAGAAGTAGGTTCCAACATAGAAATAAAACTTATATTTTTCTTCCTCTGAAAGTTCTTCCACTACTTTTTTGCAGCCCCTATTACCAAATCTTCATCTTTCTTCTAATATCCTATTTCATGATAAATCAGACCATGACAACAAAATTTGGTTTTTACAAACTTTGATGAAATGTCTTTAAACAGATCGTGAATCATTGGTTGCAAAACATGAATTGATGAAATTCTGCTTTGTAGAACTGTGTTAAGAACATCAAATGATGGGAAAATACTTTGTTAAGGATAGAAGACAAAAATTTAAATATCCATTCTTCACATGATAAACTTACACTAATTGGAAAATGTTTCTCTTATTGAGCATTTTTCTTCTTATTATTATTTTGAGAGAAATTTGTATCAGTTTTATACTTATATTTCGCAGTATTATTTTGAGAACTGTAAATTAAATTGCTCACAGGTGCAGAAATTATTTCTCTCACAATTATTTTTAACAGCGCAAGAAGTGACTGCATCCCCATTTAATAAAGGTATTTTATGACATCAATAGTCTTTTATCTTAACCTCTAGAAGCATTTATTTCTTTAAAAAATGCAAGAAGTGGGTTCTATTGGTCCAGGATTCTAGATAAACATTTCTTTAAACAACTGCAGCCATTTTTATCCTATGACTTGAGCATTTCTTAGCGACTTCACTACCAAGAAACATTTTTCTAAATAAAGCTGCAGCATAATTCGATGCATTCAATGGCAGGTTGTGCTTCAGTAAAAAGGCTGAGAACAGGCATTCCGCATTAATAACCTTTTGATTTTTTACTTCTACAGAAAAATTTAATTTTCCTTTTTTTCAATATAACTTATGTTGTTCTTTTGTTTTTGTGGATGCACATTTTTGAGAACATTCGGTGCTTCCCCTCTGCAAAATTGAAAAATTGCAATGACAAAAGGTACATATCGCAAATGTATTACGTTTCCTTGAGAAAATAATAGAAGGAAAGTCATCTGTGTATGATTTTTAAAAAATACATGAGTATTTTACCTTTGCAAACGTAACGACGACAAATGATTATAATATCTTAAACCATTTTTCGAAAGCATGTTACATCGTTCAGCAATGAGATGAACAAGATAACCCTGATTTTGTGATCTTGCTTTATGCCCATTGGCTATTATATGCCAGATGACAGGCAGTGACACTTGACGCTCATTGGAGAACTGAAACACGACATTTTCAAACACATGTGCTCTCAATCACAAAGCACAATCGCACTATAACTTCTCCCTAATGAAATGACTTTGGTTCTCTATGTAATCTAGAGAAAAACCAAGTGCTTTCAGACTCCCCAAATCACTTTTTTTGGGTGCAAATAATGAAGTGTTAAGCCAAGCTACATAAAAATCATGAGAATTTTTAAGAATAAAAGAAATTTGAGAGAAATATGTTGTAGATCAGGTTGGAGTATGTCGGAAGTCGGGAATCTCTTGCCTAAACTGGGAGAGTTGGCAATTCTCTGTATATTTATTAATACGAAATAACTGAATTAGATTAAAGTTTAAATTATTTCAGATTGTACAAATTCTCCCTTTCTTCCCCCCCCCCATTGTTAACAGATTTTCATGTATAGAATTTCTTTTTGGCAGATTAGGCTTTTTTATTTATTTATTTATTTATTTATTTCCCCACCCCACCCCCATACTTAGCAAAAATTTGATTCATTGAATTTCATTTGAATAATTAAAGTTGATTTAGATTTTGACAGACTGGTTATATAGAGGTGACATTTTTAGTTGTCAGAGGTTACAAATGATTTAAAATAATTAATTGTGGTGCCTCAGCTAATTGACAACAAACAGAAACCAGGGTTCATACACATTTCTGCAGATGGAAATTAATGATCTTTAGAGACCATTTATGAAAAAAAATTAAGGACCTATCAGCAGAGGGAATTTAATAAACGAAAGCAATTATCAATACCTGAGCTTCGCTTCTGTAATACCATTCTAAGAATAAAATAAATCTGCAAGTAAGATACATTATTATTAAACATAGTCTAATCTTTAACATAAATACTCATGTAATTTATGACATTGATTCTAAAACAATATTAGGATAATTGCACTTTAAAAGCTACAAAATATATATGCTTCATAGCAACAACTCAGAACAAAACATTTAAGTGTCTTTTTAATTTAAAAATTTTTCAGATATTTTAGCTAATTTTCATTTCTCTTTAACATCTTTTTTAAGTTAATCTGTTACAATAAACAAATCAATGGGGTAGAGTTGACTTTAAGGTACCCTTTGTATTATCGCAAAGTTGTTGCTTCATTTATCGCCAAGTTGTTTCGCTTTTCGCCAAGTTGTTGTATCATTTATGGTAACCTGAGTAGTTTAACGTTATGGAAACCCTATTATGACGTAATCGTTTGCATTACTCAGGGAAATTTTGAATCATGGGGTGTTTTGCAAAGGCTTTTGTGGTGTGTGTTGCTTAGGAAGTACATTGCTTGTTTCATTGTTTAGATGATACAATGGCTGAATGTAGTAGAATTAATTTGAAGTTTCTGTACGATTTCGAACGAAAAAAGTGCATTAATTGAGTGAATTAATTGTGTAAATGAAGGTTTACTTAGTAGCCATAGTCCGGAACTACGTAGTATATTTTTTACTCTTATTTTTGTGCATTTCTGTGGCGATGCGGATATCCGAATTGTAGTTCAGATAATTTTAGGAAGTTTTTGGATGCTGTTAAGGAATTTTGTGTGCCACAGACTGAAGACGAACGAATTTCTAGATAAGGCAAAGGGATTTTTGCTTTGTGTAGTGCTAAAATAGATAACAGGTTTTTCCTTTTTTGTGTTATTTTATTGTTTGCTTTAAAATGTAGCTTACTGAGATTATGTATTTTTTGTTTGCCTCTACTGTAGAATTGGGTGCTCCTTTGACTTTTTAAGTGAGAATATATCGATGTGTACATGGACAAACTTAAGGGAGTGCATAAAGCATAGTTTGTGCAATTCGGAGATGTTTTTTTTAAGTGAAAATAGGTCGATGTGTACATGGATAAAGTCAAGGGAGCGCACAGAGTCAATTTTGTGCAATTCGAGGATTTAAGTGAAAATAGGTCAATGTGTACATGGATACCGAGTTTGTGCAATTCTTTGACTTGTTATTTTGGCTTGCGTAGTGGCAATTTTTTCGCCAAAAATCGCCGCTACACATGCCAAAATAACAAGTCAAAGCATTGCACAAACTCAGTATCCATGTACCGCCAAAAATCGCCCAAGGGTACCCTAAAATATACTTTTACCAATCAATGCTCCCACTAGTTTCTGCTTTATTCCCTAATCTGACAATGCTTTAACAACATACTTTTGAAGAAAATTTTCTTTATGCAATCAAATTTTTTTCACAATAAGTTTCCTCTTTATTTCACGATTTCTGAGTTAATTGATGATCTCTGTTATTCTAAAGAAGTGCATGTATATAGAATGTATAGGAAAAACTGCTAATTTTATTTCCTTAATAATATGAGAATTGAAAATAAATGTAAAATGATACAAGATCTGGGCTGGTGCCAAAGCGATTGAGGCAGAATTTTAGAAGTTAATGAAGCACTGAGCATCAAAATTTAAAGATTACGGATTAGGAATTAGTAAAATTTTTAGAATTTAGGATAGACACTGAGCAAGACCCATAGAGATCACACCAGGTGGCAAAAAGCCTATCCCTGCATATAATGTAAATGCGTGAGACATATAAAATGGATCTTTTAAATTGTCAGTTTTGAATTATTCATAGAAAGTCTATTAGTCAATTTTACTTCAATCCTGCAGCTACAGCACAGGACAGGTATAAAAATGTGCTTTTAATTTTAGCCTCTTATTATTTTTCTTTTTGTATATATATATACAAATTGGTCTTCCAGTATTGTAATTACTTCCTTGCTTGTTAATTATATATATATATATATATTGGAGTTTTGTTATAAAGTTACACTTAAGCAATTTACAAATTCCACTTACATAAAATTCCAATGATCTATATAAAAATAAAACACATTACTTATATCACTGGGGAATACTGTACACTAAGGAATTTGAAATAACATAACTGGGGAATACTGAACACTGAGGAATTTGAAATAACATAACTGGGGAATACTGTACATTGAGGAATTTGAAATAATAGATTCAAATGCATTTTATACATACAATTATGCAAAGAAACTTTTACACTTGAGTTCACACTTATTAATCTCATTATACATGCTACAAATAGTAAAAAGCAATATTTATGATACAGATTAATTTGAATGTCATTTATAAACATTAAATGCAATTTTAAGAATAAATAAAAACTCAAAGTAAAAATTAGGAACTTACTTCATTTTCTTTATCAACTATCTTATTTACTGTACTGTTAGATGTTTTAGGAGACATAGTGGTCTGTTCTTTAGTGGGATCTGGTTGCCTGACCAAAATTTGAATTATATCATTTAGACCTACATCATAATCAAATAATGTGTGCCCATCTTCAAGCTAAAAACACATAAACAATGATTATTAACATAAACATTTAGTTACATTAAGATAAATGCAAACATAACATTTTAATAATATTTAAGACCACATTACATTTCCTTTAATTAAACGCAAACCATCCATCTACAAAATAAGAGGCTAAAGCATTAACAAACTGGTTAGAAGATTGAGCAAGAGGAGAAAAAAAGTATTGCCTGATCCTTGTACTGAGATTCCAGTTTAACACCAGAAATGAATCTTTCATTCAAAAAGTGAAAGAAAAATTTAGAATCACAAATCATTGAAAATAATTTACTTAAACACCTTTTCTAAGAATGAATCAAAACACAACATGCTAAAATTTTAAATATTCTATGTTTATTCAGAAATCACACTTCAACTGGCAGTTTAAAATTTATGCATTAAACATTTAGTAGCTATTTCTAATGTAGATATTAAGAGAAATGGAAATTATCATTATATAATTAAACAGAAATCATGCGAATGTACTTAAACATATATATAACGTACATTCCCATGATTTTTGTTTCGTAATAAATTACATATTTACCTGTTTTCCCCTGTAAAACAGTCTCTGTTGAATAGCAGGAGCGTTAAATTTTTCAACTAATAATTTTCGCAATTCTTCGACTTTTGTCAGTTTCGAAAGGTCATCTATGCGACACGAAGTCTTTCCATCCATCGATCTCACTTGTATCCACATGTCTAAGAAAACAGCATTAAAAAAAAGTAATTCATTAATCCTTTTACTTTGAAAAACCGTGCGATTTCACGGTTTAACCCTAGTATCCGGTGCATACAGGATTTGGCTTCTTTTGGCGACTTTATGATGAGCAGTAAAAACGAAACATATACGATGAGTAGTAAACGGGTCATTCAAAGAATATAGTGTATAGTATATACATAGACGTTCTTTGGATCATTTTTGGTGTTGGCGATAATTTTCAAAATCGCGCCAAGGCTGCACCGTATACTAGGATTTTACTCGATTCACTGATAAAGTGATCTAACACAAATAAAACGGAATTAAATCACGAAGTAAATATCAGTCGGTCATATTTTAAACTTATATTAAGGATGCAAAATAAGGAATATACTCGATAGTCTAATGAATGAAATATATCTTCAGTGCTTCACATAAGTACACCTAATCATTTCATATGACATGTTATATGAAATGAAATCAGTTTCCGCAACGATGTGCAATGAGATTAAACATTATGTAAATCGCTAGAGAAAATGAACACTTTAAGATACCTAGTTCAAAGGGAAAATACATGAATAAGGAGTTTTTCTAAACTTACTCGCAGATAACGTGAAATCCTCTTGAATTGATAATAACTCAATTCAATCAAAAAGACACTTTAAGATCACCGCTTTTCAAAACGCGCGAAACAGGAGATTCCCTGATTGCCAAATCTTAGCTACAATTTCTGAAACAAAATACATGGAATAAAAGGCTGAGTACAGTAATAACACTGTAAATTAGATAAGAATCTAAGAAATTTTCTAAGATTATTTGGCACATAAGTGTATTAATATTACTGCTTTTAAAGTAACCAACGTTGACCAGATTATCGTTTAAAAAAAAGAAAGAAAGAAAACTAAAAAATTGTTTCACTAAAGAGCTAGAATAATGATAAAATAAGATACTAAAAAGCGAATCGTCTGATAAACAACTCCAACACACATTTGTTCTTGGAAAATTCTAAAACAAGGCAGTTAATGTCTTCTTTTTCTAACTATGAATAACTTTATGGACTTGCAGAGACCTTGCGGTCAAATTCGGGAGGGGGGGGCGATCAAGAAAGATGGCAACGGCATTTTAGCAGAGCTCCGAGATTTTTAAATGTGTAGTCAGTATTTCTCACTTCCCTAAATAAGTCTTTTGCATTTTTCCCTCCGCAGTGTCTTGTCCATCGAACTGAAGGAATCCCTGTCTCTAAAGAGGTTATCACATCTAACGATGGTCCCTGCTAGATGGGACTTTTCTGAGAAACGAAATTCTGGTACCACTGGTTTAAACGGGAGGATTCTTAGAAAAAAGAGCTCCGTTGAAAGTGAAGTCCCGCCTAGCTACGGAAACGATGTACTGGGCTACACGGGATTTTTTTGAAACCTCGCCGAAAATGTTTCGGCTGCAGCTCTGTCCCACGCAGAGATCAATCAACCAATTAGAGGAAAGTTTTGTTTATGAAGTATCACATGATGTCAATCTGAGTGATAATCAATTACTGTTTGGCGTTCAAGTCTTTGTAATAAGTGAAAATGGTAACCTAGCTATGTGGTTTTCCTGAAAATGTGCTGATTCTGAAAATTGTCCCTTTCGACATCCAGTCCCTTGTAGCGGAAACATGTGTGACTGGGACTTTAGAGGAATCTGATCATTTTCGTTCTTCATTTTCTGCAGCTTCTATTAAACCGAAACCTAGCCCCTAAGACAAAACATTCAGATAAGTATCCTTCTTTTCTCTAAACTAAATCAAATCTCTATTGCTTAAGTGATTTCGTAACTCGTGTATTTATTATTTTCATAAGCTTCTTACATTTAACAAGAGTTAGTAACTGCTTAGAGTTATGCAGCTCTTTTCTCGCAACTGCTCTTAAACAGACACTTCTTTCTTTACCAGTTCTTATAATTTTGGTGTTACGCAATTTTACTGTTCCTTACGTCATTCAGCTGTTACCCGTTACTTGCATTGAGGAATTTCTTCAAAGGAAAAATGAGCATCGGTGGTTGCATTAGATTGCGAAATGTTTTCCTTCCATCTCCGACTTATTTTCCTCTCGCTAAAAAGATTTGAAGCTTTAAATATTATACCTTACAGTTATATGCTCTGGTTTCTCTTCATCAAACGAAACCAGAGCATAATAACTGTAAGGTATTTTTTTTAATCTTATCTTTTCTATCACTGTTCTTTGCTATTTGCTTAATTCACCAAATGGGAGGTGTGGATTATTGTATATTTCATTGAATAAATTTACTAGAACTATGAAAATGTTGTGTTTAATTAATAAAAAATTAATTAATATTTTAATTAATAAACTTTGTAAATTAAAGATTTTTTTCTCTTACACACTGCCAACGACTGTTGCCATCTTGATCTACTGCAAGTATAATTTTTTGCCAATTATCGCTCCCGATCTTTATGGCTAGAAATGCACCAGATAAGGTTTACACCTAGGGACAATTATATGGAAGAAAATATTTGCTCGGAATGCTCGACTAAATCCATTGCTTCAATTTCTTCGATGTAACGATCTTAAAAACTGAAAACTAAATATACTACCGAAAAATCCACCAAAAAGCCTTAAGAAAGTATCACTCCTAGGATGATCACTCCTAGGAATCTCACGAAAAGAGCTAAAATTATTTTTAAAAAAATTCTTCAAAGTAATAGATTTCAAAATTTATCACCTGAAATATATAACGAAAATGAATCGGACGTAACAGTAAATGAAGGCAAAACTAAAATTCCACGAGTCGTAATAGCACAAGATAACAGTCAATTTCACGTTAGCCGTGTTTTTTTACTAAAATTAAATAAACCGTGCAATCGCGCAGTGCAATATGAGAAATGTCCCCATTTGCCCTTCTCCAGAGAGGTTTATGATTATGTTCTAGAATTTCTGCTTTTGTCAAACCTTCTAAAATTTCGACTACTGCTTAAAGGAGATCCTTCGTAATGATACTCCGTTATAAAGATGACTAGACATGCCTTAGACTACCAGATTTAAAAGAGTATAGTAATTTTTCCGAAATTTCCTGCTTAGTTTCACCAGCCTAATTATTTTTTTAAAAAAGTCATTTTTGCAGGCTTTTTAAAATTTACTTATCATTCATTCATTTGTGCAAGTAAGCCACTGTTCGAAAAACAGAAACCTTAACTGCTGCATAAAGGTGCCTACATGCAGATCAATTTCTCATTTGGGGAAAAAGAAACTTTATAAATTTGAGGGCTTTTTTATGAGTTTCACCGCTGTGCAAGTACAGTTTACAAGGTATTTTCCTTGCCTTCTCAGCATGCCCTAGTGATGTAATGGTGAGCACGCTTGGCGTATATTCTAGAGGTTCGTGGTTCGAGACCCGGTGAGGGCACCGCTCATTTTTCTTCTCTCCTGCTTTAAAAAATACCTAATTTATCTAAAGTATATGTTCATCCTTACTATGACTTTCTTTGTAAGATCGTTATTGACAATTTTTTATTAAAACTACTTCCCATTCCATCATTTGTCATGCAACAGCTGGATGCATTGTCAAATAACTTATTAAACAATAGGAAAGAATGCTCTCTGTTTACTCTTTACAGCCACATTTTTAGAAACATATTTTGGAAAAATTCGAGTATTTAAAAAAGAAATGTCAATTACTGCAATGCATTCATAGAATTGTCAAACGGTAAATACGACAGGGTCTGGAGGGGAGGAAAATGCTGCTATTTCTTCTATTTTTAGTACATGAAATACTTGACCAGCTTACATTTTACCTATAAATGACTTACATGCTTGAAGGAATCAATAATTTCAAATCGAAGCAAATTCTAGTGTGCGTTGGTAAGTTACGTCGTACTTAAAACTTCTCTAAGCTAACAGTCTCAGTTTCTATTTTCATTCAAATTTATCTGGTGACAGTTATTTTATTTCTGTAATAAAATGTAGTTTTTCGACTATACTTTTAAACTTCGATCCCTTGTACTTCCTCAGATTTTAATTTTAACCTTAAATGCATGTAGTTTCCATTTGGTAGCATACTCATATTTAAACATGTAAATCAAATCAAAACACAAATTTTAGCTTACTGCATAGTGTAACCAATCGGATGCATACTGCTTACGTATATAGTTTTGAAAGTTTCGGTGTGGTGTCACCACACTAACGGTGTAAAGGTCATTGTTGTGAGTCGATATGTGGACATTATTTGTGTTTAAAAATTTTTGATTTGTGTTTGTTGTTATTTTAATGTATTCGAAGCTTTAAAATTGTTTGAACAAGTTCATAAGGTATGTATTATTACATAAAATTGTTATCATACATTTGCATATCATATTTTTTTGTAAAAGTTAATAATATTTTTTCAAAAATTAGAATAAAAATTTTGTTTAGAATGTTTTTGGTATTTTTCCTATTTTATTTGATACCAATTCTAATTTAATTTTGACTTAAATTTGAAAAAAATTAATAAAAATAAGAATTCCTGCATTTAAGCATGTTGTTAATTGATTCGAAGTACGTATTTTCTAGAGACAAGATTATTAAAATATTAATTTTTATACTGCTTGCTTTCAAAGAAGAGATGTATTAAAATGCTATGCTTTTTGAGAAACAAAATGCTATGCCCTTTGAAAGAGATAAAATTTATTAAGGCGCTAATTTTTATTCTGTTCTCTTTTGATTTTCATTAATTTTATTTCCTTAATTTGGAGCTTCCCTTAATAGGTATGGAGAACAGACACTCGAACATCCCAGAAAGATAAAATATTGCTACATTCTGGAAAGAGGGCGAGATCTAAAGAGGTCCTAATTTCAATGATTTATTTCATATTATTTTTGAGTTCTATTTCCGCTCGTTTAGTACACTTGTAAAGATTTGAAATTTATTTATTCCATAACATAATGATAGTTTTTAAAGAAAAATTGACCATTCTCTCCTGCAAATGATTAGCATATCCTGATAGAAGACTGGAAGATTCTACTAAATTCAAATCCCTGTGAGAGTATAGCTGCTTTTTCTTTTCTTTTCTTTTTTTTTTTTTTTTTTTTTTTTTTTAATTTTTGGACTCCAAAATTTATTAAATTATCTATAGTGGCGCTCAAACTAAGATTTGGTGGGCAATAATTCGTTCCCTCCTGGATTTGATCGACTGAGTATCGAATCTTTCTTAAATCACTTTGTTCTCCAGTTCCTTTAATCGGAAAAGAATGTAAGTAATAACTAATTTTGCATTCGCAAGTTGTCTTCCAACAGGGGATGCCCTATGAGTATTAAGATCAAAGCACCAGTCACGAAATTTCAGAAAGGTTGTAGAGACATTACATTATTTTGAAGCAAGAATTGTGAAAAATATGCAGTGCCCTCGCCGGGACTCGAACCTGGAACTCTCGAATGCGTTCCGAGTGTGCTAACCGTTACACCACGAAGGTATGCAGAAAGGAGGGGGGGGGAGAACCTTATAAAGTTACAAACTTTTGTAATTTCCTCTTTAAAATGTCCTGAAAGCGTCTATTTATATATTTCTAGTTATGTTTATACTAAATTTAGTTAATTTTATTGCTGTCGCGAAGGATATTTTTGCATCGTTTAATGCATCATTCCGTTCTGCATTATCCCGAGCTTGTTCTCATGGATTGAATGGTTACTACGCTCAGCTAAGGTTCGGAAAATCCTGGTTCGAATCGCGGCGAGGG